TTTAAATAAGTAGGCTTTGAACGGCACCGGCTGTAATGCAAAAAAATTCTAGCTGTGAGGACAATTAAAACGAAAATAATATTTGCTATGAGAGATGCAGAATTTTATGACAATTTAAAATATATTTAACCAACATCAACACATTTAAACTATATCTAATAACAATAAAAATAAATAACAAACCAAGACATGAGATTTTGCTACAATAGGTATTCGACATATCGACCGTCTTCTGTTATGGACAGACGGAGCAGTTTTTGAACATTTCTCGCGGAATTCATTAACTCAGTGGAGGTGAAAGATACCCTCTCATAACTGCTAAGTATTTCTAATTATTCTTGTCTAGATTAAACGGAAGAATAAGGAATCTTTATTCTTCCGCAAATATATCCATTGGATTAGATCCATGGGCACTAAGTCAGGCGGCCTCTCGACGGCCAACGGCTGGGATTTCGGTTAGCTATTCAATTATTCTTGAAATTGGCTGCAAAATTTTGCTGATAACTTCAGCGTCCGTCGTCTTGCTGGAAAAATATGTTTTCGAGTTTCATTAAGGGCATATAGTCAATAAGGGGTCCAACGCCTAGTAGTTAAAAGTGGCGAACTTTTAAAAATTCTGTATTTCGAAGGGGATTATAACAAAATATCAAGCGTGCTATAATTTTGGAAAGGTAATTTTAAATTCTTTTCAGTTAATTAAAAATATAGAGGGTGTCCCAAATAAAAAATCAATTTTTCTGTTAATAACTCTTAAATTATTAATTTTAAAAAAATTATACTTAAACCATTAAATTCTACGTAAAAAGGTGCTTTGGAATATTTTCATAAAAATACAAAATTTTCCATAGCAAAAAAGTTACAGCGATTTGTTAAAATGCATATTTTTGAAAACCACCCCAAATCTGAAACGGTAACAGATATTGATGTGCGGTTTTCACCATCATGTTTTTAATGAAAAATTGATCTCAGACACCGATATTAGTTTTCGTCTATCTCCTATAGAAAAAGGGTGTTTCATTTAAAAGCGTCGAATTTGACCCACCCTGTACATAAGATAATGGGTAAAAATGTAAATATATTTTAAATTTTGGGGTTGAAAATCGATCTAATTTAACAAAAAACATTCAATATCTACTAATAGTGATGTATTATTATTTGCATTCACAAAATTTATATGTATATTTTGCAAGTATCAATGTTCGAAAAATTATATTTACAAATAATACAATATTATCTAGAAAAAGGCGTCAGCGATGACTATGAAATGAAGATCGCTGGGCATTTATATAGGCGTAAAATTATATGTAAAATTTTTAGGTTTCTTGAATTTTAGGTTTGGAAAAACGCTGATTTAAGTTTAAGTTTTTATTTGGGTTTAAAACGTTTCGGTTAACGTTATAGTTTTCATCAGTTGTGCCATATGAGGAAAAATAGTGTCGAATATAATCCAAAAAATTACATATACAATGTAATTCACACCTCATAATGTTTACTGCAATTAATAAACTAATATAAACTTATCAAAAGATGACCACATATTTTTTAAAATTATTATTCTTAACACTAAAATTATCTACATTGACTATGGAGTCCGCAGTAAACATTATGTGTGTGGTGTGAATATTTTATATGTAATTTTTTGGATTATATTCGACACTATTTTTTTCATATGACACAACACCGATGAAGGCTATAATGTTAGCCGAAACGTATTTTTTTAAACCAAACCAAATAAAAATAATGAAAAACCAAATGAAGACTTAATCAGCGTTTTTCCCGAACCTAAATCCCAAGAAAATCAAAAAATGTAGAATATTTAGAAACAAGGTTCAAGAATATCAAATTTTCCAAGATTGTAAAATTCTAGTTAATTATTTTATGTGTACAGTTATTTAGGGAATGTCATCGATGTTCATTTCCAAGCCAACAAGACGCCGATTTTTTTCGATGATACGGTATAATTCTTACGTAAAATGTAAATAACATTAGACCAATTAAAACAAAGAAATATGAATTTCTTAGTATTTTTAGTAACACCTTTATTCTTAAAACTTAATTTTGTATTATGGAAATATACTAATTAATAAAATAACAATAAATAATAATTTTATTGTTATTTTATTCATATTGTATTCAGCCATCACTTAAATATTTGATATTAATTTGGTATTATAAATAATCAACACTATTCATTAAAAATTACTGAACAAAAATATATATTAAACAAAAACACATTCTTCTTTTAAATTGTATCAGTCTTGTCTTTACAAAAACCTTTTTTAAAATTTGAACTCAAAATAATAATCTTTTTCATGATCTTTAATACACATTGTCCAGTTTTCATTAATACCATCATGGGAGAATATTATTTTTAAATTTATTAAAGATATTTTCAATAGAATTCTCTTGATTTATAACTTGTACCCACTTTTCTTGCTCTTCCGGACACTTTAGGCTGCCTAGTATAACTATCCTTTCCACCAGGAACACAACAAAGATGCGGCATAGCACCAAAAACACACTCCACTTAAGCTTTATTGATGAATTGTTAGAGTCTTAAAAAACACACACAAAAATCACGATGAGTAAAAAATGTATGGGCACTTTTAGGTTAAATCGCTTACACAACGTGTAATTTTTCTATTTTTTTTTATGCGAAACCGAGAGTGACCACATATCTGGTAGTAGTTTATGTCACTTAAACACCAAAATAATTAGTTTTTTTGCACTACAATAATAAATAATACCAAAAATCATAAAGTTAAAACCAAAAATCAACCGACAAAATATGAAACGGAATCTAACTCAATATCTAAGTATGTACAGATGATGAAGTAAACAAAAGTCCGCCCCCAGGCTGATCTTTTAAAGAACGGCAGTGCATCAAGTATATTCTCTGGCATACATGCTCGTGCGTCAAACGAACGTCAATCTCATCAATCTGCAATTTGTTAATCGTCGAGATCTAAATAAAAGTCGATGAAATTCGATAAAAATAATTCATAAAGAAGGCAAATAACAGTTAAAATAGTTAAAAAAAGTTTAACGATATTAGACGAGGTATTGATATAATATTAATGTTATTACAGGTTATGAAAATGTATTACAGGTTATGAAAATTATGAAATTTCTAGATAAAATATTAACAAGTAGTATTGTATTTAAAGGTATGAATTGAGATAATTAAATGCTAATTATTTACTTAACCTATAGTTTTCTTTAAATATATACTTAAATCTTAATATACTTACTGTTAACGTTAAAAATATTCATGGCATAAATGAATAAGGGCAAAAACATTCAGGAAATGATTATTTAATAGAAAATAAGAGGGATTTTTATGTAAACCTTTTTTTGACGTTTTCATACGTAATATCTGTTAAAGTTTAAAAGAATTTTACACGAATCTATTCTGTTAGTTTAAAAAAACAATGAATATGAAAAGGATGAAACAGTAGAAACCGCCGGCGCCGAACACCAGTCCAATTTTATGATTAAAAATGCTTGTTCAGTGACGAAGTATAACTTTATAAAATCAATCAAAACACATATAGTAGGACTATTTTTATTCACATAGGCTTGTTGACAAGTTGTAAGCATAAATCAATTTTGGCAGAAGTAAACAAAACATTCTGCGAAAAATAATAGGCGATCATCGTCGAATCTACTTTCCGTAGATTGTCTGTGCTTTATTATAATCCGGATCTGTCATAATTCTAACAAACTGAAACACCTAGTGATATCTAAATAAATTAAAAAAAACATATACATCTAAATAAATCAGAAATTATTTAGATGTCAAATGTCATTGGGAAGAGTTTATTAAAATTTAAATGGAATGCGTTCGCTGTGAGCCGAAAACTTTAAGATCTTTGACGTCACGCCTCGTTTTCGCGCCAAGCGAATTTCAATGAATTTCAATCATTAATTTAAGTATTAGAAATCATAAATATTTAAATTATACCCGACACGTGCAAGGACCCTATTACAGATAATACAACTCACTCTTAGGGACCTTTCCATGGGACTGACTATATTAAAAAGAAAGAGCACTCATAATAATATATTGAAATCAAAAAAAATGTTCTATCAAATACATTTTTAACCCACAGCATATAGGGTGTTCCATTTAAAAAAATATAGTTTATATTATGGAATGTAGAGGTAAGGAGAAATAACTCCGTGCATTAAAAAATGGTCAAAAAAAGGGAAGAATTAGGATGGCGCTGCTGTAGCAAGATTCTAAAATTTAAGACATGCGCTGAACATTTTAGAACAGATGATTCAAGACATAAATACTTGACGTGAAGCAAACGCGAAGCCGCGGGTTTAAAAAAAATACAATTTTATTTTCATGTTGCATGAAATAAATTACAGATTTTTATTCAGCAACAATAGACTAGGCCCTTTTTTTATTGTTTCTCATAAGTTATTTCGCAAATGTCATTCAAGACGACGAAAAAATATTCTTATCGTTTTAGCTTAAAATTAATGGTAATTATAATTAAGACAAATTTTATTTAAAGTAATAATTGGTGATGGGTTTAAAATAAATATAATGCAGCTTTAAAATAACTTCATACCTACATTGATTTAGTATAAAAGTAAGTCAATATGTGGTTTTATTATCGATTATTCAGATATCAGAGCCTCTTTTTATTGTTTCTCATAAGTTATTTCGTAAATCTCATTCAAGATGAAAAAGCTTTAGTTTAAAATTAATGTTAATTATAATTAGGAAAAACTTTGTTAAAAGTTTAATTGATGATATGGGATTTAAATAAATATAATGCAGGTCAAAAATAACGTAACACATTTTATTTAGTATAAAAATTAAGCCAATATAATATAATTTTATACTGTACAAGTATTTATTTACGTTTTGCCATCGTAGTTGCCATTCATTCAGAATAATGGATTTTAAATGTTCGATAGTCGGATGGCTTAACTACCTTAATATCAACTACTTCTAGACAAGAATCGTGTGCAGTATTATCTTCTCACTCCCAGCTATTCCAACATGGCTTGGGACGTGAAATAATAATATAATTTTATAGCCCTTCCAGATGCTCATGTCTTCTTTGTAGTTCACCCAATAGAATCGTTCTCGCAGCTTCCTCCCAAGTTGGTAGTTGCTATTCATTCAGAGTAGTGGATTTTAAATATATTTGGTAGTCGGATGGTTTAACTATCGTAACTATAACTACTGTTAATAATTCTTTTTCTCAATTCTTTGCACTATAATTTGCATCCCACGTATTGTAATATTTTCCTTTGAATTTCGTTTCCTATTGTCCCATGGCTTGAGACATAATGTTATAGCCCTTCCAGATTCTCATGTATATGTCCCTTTCCCTTGTAGTCCACCCAATAGAACCTTTCTCTTAGCTTCCTCTCTAGTTGGTAGTTGCCATTCATTAAGAATAGTGGATTTTAAACATGTTTCGTACTCGGATGGTTTAACTACTGTAACATCATAAATAAATTGTATACCAACACATAATGGCCAAACTTCAACAGACTTTAATATTCATAAACCTCATCAGAAGAAAATATTTTTTGATCCAAAGTTTCTTTTTCGTTATTAGAATAAATTACCTGCAATTTGTTAATTCATTGCAACATTGAATAAAAGATGCAAAGTGTTTATACATACTATAATAGATAAATCTTCATTTTAAATTATGTGATAGATCTGCTTGCTTGTAGGATCTAGACTCATAAACTCAATAATTTCTTTTATTGATATAATGAATAAAGTGGTAATGCTGAAATTTTGTTTTTGATTTGAGCAGTAGGGTCCATTATTTCCATTATTTGATGCTGTCATTGCTCTACAAAATGTTGATCTTTATCAAGGGATGTTTATGTGTATAATATTATTATTTATGTGCATAATAATACTGATGATCGAAAAAACACGGCGTCCAGTTGGCTTGGAAATGAACATCTCGATGACATTCTCCATATCATTTTACATATAAAATGACAGCAATCTTCATTTCATAGGCATCGCTGACGCCGTTTTTTATTCGATCAAATTGTACTTACGTGTATAATATTCATTTAATGGTTCCTGTTTTAGTTGCTGGTGTTCATATTTTGGTTTTTTATTGTGTTGTTGCTCTACAAAATGTTAATATTTATGTGTATAACATTACTCTTTCTGTGTATAATAATACCGTATGATCTGGTATGATCGAATAAAAACGGCGTCAGCGATGGCTATGAAATGAAGATCGCTGTCATTTTATATGTAAATTTATATAGGAAATGCCATCGATCGTCATTTCCAAGCCAACTGGACGCCGTTTTTATTCGATCATACGGTACTTATGTGTATAATATTCATTTAATGGTGCCCTTCTTGCTTGTTGCTGTTGTTGCAATTCAGAATTTAAATTAACCTGAGGCAGTAGGTAGAGCTTCATCCTCCAATATTTTCCTATGTAAATACTGAAGTGGACAGTATTTCTGATGACAATTTTATCACAAACTTTAACATCTTGTTCTTTAAAATGAAACTGCCATACCTTATCTGTAGATTTCAAAGCAATATCTAAATGCTTTTGACCATCACTGTAATCTAATTCTTGTCTGAAAATCAATACCTAATATTATCCTGATGATTTTGATTTTTGATAGATTATTAAAATACAGCACTTACAGTTAACTATATTTCTTGAAAGTACCTACAATTTTATGTATTTCCTACTTTAACTTGTTTAAAAAAATGCCAACAATTTGTGCATGTCTGTCAAACTTTAAAATCATTAAAAATAAATTTTATTTAGGTTGTAACTTTATAAAAAGGATTGTAAAAATATACTTTGTGACATGTATGTCAATAATCTTACGAAAAATGTTTACTACACTTTTGATTGACTCTAATTTTTACATATAATACAAATAATACAATACTGAATTATATTATGTATTTTACATACCGTAGGCTTTGCCTTTGCTCTTTATTTTTCCATCAGCTATTCAATCAACTTCGCACCACATACACTTTAACCATTGTTAAATAATAAATAAAGCACAAAATATTGATAAACAATAATTATTTTATATTCAAAAACTCTGCCTGAAAAATAAAAACAATTTTTTTTGGGTAATGTTTGGTTTACGAGTATTTTTATTCTCTTATCTATGGTTACTTTTCATTTTTTAGAATCATGCGTTTTTAGCGCCACTGTGGTTATTTGGCGAACCCTTATTTTCCCATTTTGTGACCACTTTTTCAATAAAAGTCCCGTAAGAGTTATTTCTCCTTACCTCTACACTCTATAGTTTATATTAATAACAGTGACACTTGACAATGTATGACATTTTTGATATGTATAAAAACTTTTGAATAAGAAGACTAAGGAAGGAGCATATCAAAAATCTTAGGTACACCGCGATGGGCCTCAAATATGGCCGACTTAAATTCCGGTTTATCAGTGTCGTTCTAATTTTATTTAAAAAATGTAAAACTATGATGTAGGGTAGACGTGGGGTAGACTCAATAATTTGTTATTTTATTTTACGTTGTGAATAAATGTTGGTAGTTATTAAAATTGTTATAAAAATATATAATTCTAATAAAAATAGATAAGTTATAATAAGTATTTATTAACACAAACATCCGATACGCTACTGAAGCAGGTAAGTCAAATTAACGTATCTACATTCTTTGACATCTAATCTTTGACGAATAATAAATAAAAGCTAAAATGCAAGAAAAATATATAATTTAGTGAATTTAAGTGAATTTCATAAATGATCGGTTTACTACACGTATGTATATTATATAGTCACTTACTAGCGAAAAGTTGTTCCATTATTTCACTCAATTTTTGCCGATATCTACCGCACGCTACACAACCAACTATTTTAGAGTCTTTTTCGATAAATCGCGATAGTGTCACTGTTAATTTAAGTTCTGCCACAATTTTCATCTAGATTTACTACCTCTATAGATACAACTATCAGTAGTAGAATAAATAATAAATAACATAAAATAAGCTCCGTAAAGACTGACAAATCCACAAAATTTCAAATCAAATTCAAATGTGTCAAATGAATCGTCAAACAGAACTGTCAAGGATCCCCACCCTAGAGTGCTTTTATGGCGCTTTTTCCGCCCACCATGCATGAATACATGGATAGCATTATGCTCCTTCCTTAGCCTTCTTATTCAAAGATAAACACTTGACTAGAAAGAATATTTGTATTTTTAAAGAATATTTTAGAACAAAAAACAACAAAAAGTTGATATTGTACAAAAATAAATATCAAATATAATTAAAATACAATACCTGAGATACTAAGACCCTTTTAGTGTCGTTTCTTATAGCCATCAGTAAATCTAGCCACGTCCATGTCATATTATGGTACTCTAAAGTTGGAATAACGATTGATACATCCCTAAGATCTTCCAAATTTTTCTCTTTGGATCCTTTATAACTAACTTTTACCGGCACTTCTGGGATTTTAATATACACAAACAGTTTATTTTTTTCAGCCCTTTCCTAAAAAAATAGTTTGTTATATATTTTAAATACACTGTATAATGGCCAACTGTACGCGAAAAAACCATTTCAGTACTAGATTTCATAACCTCTTTACTATATTTCGACTATACCGGGTGCGTCTCAAAAGTGGCTCACTCCCATAACTTTTTAGTATTATATTTGAGATTTGGTATGTTAGTATATGACATAAATTAGAATTGATTGTTTTCGGTCACTTCCGGTTTCACCGGAAATGAATACAACTTTTGATTTTTAAATGACACCCTCGATATTTTTTTACTTTATTCGTTAGAAAATGACACTCTGAATAGAATGACATATCTCATGTCAACTTTTGACATTTTCGCATATGGCTTATTTGAAATTATAAAAGGGGTTCATAACGACAATTTGACTCGAAATACCAAGTGTGTGGTATCAAATTATTCGTAAAAAAATGCTTTTAACAAATATGCTAATGAGCCACCCTCGTTCTATTTGTAAAAATTGAGATATGATTAAAAATACGATTTGAGCATCTTTTAACCAAGCCAGGATAAGACACGAATAACATTAGACGATCAAATCTATTTTTCCAAGGCCCTTTAATTAAATATTAGTGTTTTTAATACAGTCAAATTTGTTTTAAGCGAAAATGTAAAAAAGTAAAAAAATACCGAGGTAAAAATCTAAAGTTGTAGTCATTTCCGGTGAAACAAGAAGCGATCGAAAACAATTGAATACGTCAATCAATACTAATTTATGTCATATACTAACATACCAAGTCTCGTTTTTTTATCTGAAAAAATAAAAAAGTTATAGGGGTGAGCCACTTTTGAGACGCACCCGGTATTACAAAGAAAGTGACAGCTAATTGAGTGTTATTTGAAGTCCCTGAAATATGTTAAATCTAGAATATCAAAAAAACTCCCCCAGCACAAAATACATAATAATTTAAAAGAAAAGATACCAGAGATCCATATGTGAGAATTGGTCGTACCATGGCATCTATTTCTAGTTCTTACATTGCAATTTTAACGTCCGACAATGACTTCAAATATCTCAAGATGAACTGTCACTGTCAAGGTCATAAGTAAAGCTCCGACAGTAGTTGACACTTCAAAGAACCAATGGGAGTTGCTTAAATTTAAAATTGACAGCTGTTTGAATTTTCTAAAAATCTCATTGATTCTTTTGACGTGTAGCTGGCAACACGACGAAGTTCTGAGAACGGGGCTTAATAGACACACGAGATATATCAAAAATCGATAACCAACAAACAGATGGATATTTAACTTACTTTCATTTTATCTACATCGTCTATATGAATATAAAAGTTAGAATCTCTGCCTTTCTTTGATTTGACTTTCTTGTTTTTTGGTTCGGCATCGCCATCTTCGCTTGCCCTATCGTTAAATTCTGCAGATTCGGTATCTCTCTCAGGAAAGGAAAACTTCATCATTGTATTGTAAAATTTCTTGGTTAAACCTGAAATATCAACCAAAAACCTGAATTATAAAAAAATGAGCGATCTTTGTACATAATTTCACATATTTACTTTAATCAACATAAATAATGATAATACATTTACTATACCTTCAAATATGTGTCGTTATTAAATAGATACATCTATAAAAAATAATTCTCAATAATACATTATTGAGACACTTACCTATTGTCAAAGGAACCATGTTTATCTCAAAATGCTCTTTGACTGATATACCTCCCACTGGAGGTTTTTCTCTACAAAATATCCTCAAGACTTTCTAAAATATATTAAGTTAAAATAATTCTCTTTTTATTTTAAATTATGTTTATTTTTAGATATTGTTTGATTTTATGGTTGGTTTAATTTTTATAAGTACCTTATGTTCTATAGGCATATCATATTGTATCTCTGTAGGGCACAGTATTTCTTTGTAAATTTCATTGGGTAATAAATTGGTCATTCTAAGATATCCCAATTCTAAAAGATGTTCTACAGAGTCATCGGATTTTGAATTCTTTGTATACCTAAAATTATTTTTTTTTAAATTAATAATATACTGATATGGAAAATGCAACGCCTATGGAGATTGTTTTAGTTTTGAATATAGTTTGACAACATGTTTGCCTAGTACTAAGTAGCTAGTGATTGGAATTTAAACCGGAAACGTCTCGTAAAAAACTGAGATATTGTACCTTAATGTTAATAATGTGTTGATGTTCCTCTGTTTTTTTGTTTTTTTTTATACACACGTAAAGTCGTCGCGGCATATATATCCCAGGCCACCTGAACTTCGTTGCGGAGAGCGTACACTGTTTTGGGTGCAGTAAATTATGTAGCATCATATTTCCACCATATCTCCTGTCTCATAGCCATGCGGATATGTCATTAAAACTATTTGATTTATCAAATGAAGCTCGAATTGCAGGTCTTAAGATCAATATTAAAAAATCTAAATTGATGAGTGTACCAACAATGTCGCTCCCTTTATCATTGTAACAATACCTACAGAGGAGGTTAATAATTTTACTTACTTGAGTAGTTTAATCTCAACCAACAGAGGCACGGAGCACAGTATCATAAATAGAATAAACAAGGCCAGAATAACATTTGGAATGCTCAACAATATTTAGAGATCTAGACAGTCTAAACTTACTAAACTTAAAATTTTCAATTCGAATGTGAAGTCAGTATTGTTGTATGGTGAAGAGACCTAGAAAATTACATCGCCATTAATAAACAAACATCAAGTATTCATAAACCGCTGTCTGCGAAAAATTGTAGGAATATTCTGGCCAAATACTATCAGAAATGAGGATTTATGAAGCTTAATCAACTAGAAGCAGGTGTATAATGAGATCAAATTGAGGAAATGGAAAGAAAGAATTGGAGAAATGGAGGTGGATTGGAACACATTAAGGAGAAGCGGCAAGAACATTACTGGCAGAGCTATTGAGTCGAATCCACAAGGCAGTAGAAGAACTGGTTGTCCAAGGCACACATGGCAAAGGACAGTTAAAAAGGAGATCGAAGCAGTAAACCGATCATGGCGAGATGTAAAATCAATTGCAAATAACCGAATCCGCTGAAGAGCATTTATTGAAGGCCTATAGGCTCCACGTAGTAGTAAAGGACAAAATGAAAATGATTCCCATCGTATCCCAAACATGTTCTATTGGAAACTTAAAAAAATTCGAAAGTTACGCGGGTCACATGTGATTGTGCACTCTCCTGTTGAGAAAATTGGATATGCAAGTGTTTGCAGAAAGGGAAGTAAATGTAGCTGCAGCACCTTGTTGGTGTATCGCTGAGCGGTTATGAATACTAAACGGGACCTGCGAAAGCAATGGAATTCCAGTGTAAATTCTAATCAGTAACTAGTTAGCGGTGGGCCAACTTGTCAAACTATAGTCAAAATGTCAAACTAAAGTAATCGAAAAACAATTTCCGATGCACGTGATCAAATTTGAGTGACAAGCGATGGCGACAGCGCTGTCATATTGTGATGGATTTATGAGATAAATCTCAATGTAAAGTTGGGAAACAATGTATTATATAATTTTCTAAAGATTTTTACATTCTATTTTTAATTTAATAATTAATATTTTAGTAATTAATTTATTTATTAACAGTAGTCACTAATACTCGCAGTAGAAATATTTAAATTTAAAGCAGCAGCTACAAATCGAAATAAGTAGAAATAATTTTGAAAGTGGTATAATGCGCTTACCAATCAAACTTACTTCTCTGACTGCAGTCAAGGGTAATAAAGGACGTTTATTGTCACGTTCTCATTCAAAATAGTATATCAGGAAAGCTACAAGCTCTTTGCTTCGATTGTTTAAATGCTTCAGCATATTTTCAACACACAATTTCAAGAAATGCAACACAAAAGCTCGAAAATTTAGTTCTTAAAAAAACTGTTTGTGCTTAAAAGTACACTCTTTAAAAAAAGACTATGAAAATCGGCAAAAAACTAGAATTACTCCCAAAGATTCAACAACACGATATTATACAAAATAATGACATGTGACAATAGTGACATTATGATAATTGTCAAATAATAAACGATAATGTTGCTTATCGCGGCGCAATGTGACCAATATGGCGATAATAAAAATCCGTTTAAACTATTTTTTGCAGCTTTAATCTAAATAAAATATCTGTACAATCATTTGCTCTATAAAGTAAAATAAAGAACTGGTTCTCGGTATCTTAAATTATACAACAAATTTAAACCTTTTTACCAAAATTTCATTTAGTCAGGTTTGGTTTGGTTATGTTCTTTAGTGTCAATTTCGATATGATTGATGACGTGCATCGGAAAATGTTTTGCGATTATCGTACTTAAATACAAACATATCTCAAATTCTAATTATGTGTAATTAAAAACTACTTACAAAAAGTTGCTTAAAACTAAATCAGCTATACCAATTTGACCATCAGCTTCTGTAAGTCTCCACTGCGCATGTTTAAAACAAATCTCGTTGGCTCTCACCATGGTAAGAGGTTTGTCGCTTCGAGTCGTAGCTAATCGCGCGTTAGCAAGGAGCTGAGTCTCTTTATAACAAGACAACATCATGTCTAACTCTTCACTCTGAGTGTTCAAGTGCATCTTGCAGTCGTGCATCTACAAATTTAAACAATTTATAGGGTTCCGTACCCAAAGGGTAAAAACGGGAACTCTATTACTAAGCCCACGGCCACACAGAAAGCGTTTTGCGTTCTTTGCGTCTCAAGCGCTTTTTGCGATTTTACCGTTTTAAGCGCTTTTTTCGATTTGTGTCCAGTAAAAACACGCAAAAGACGCGGCAGGTCTGCAGTTTCTATCAAGATGTCAATTAGTAACGTCGCAAGCTCGTGGATTCCTGGCCCGTCCAACAATCAATCCTGTGAGAAAGAGATAGGCGAGATCGGCGCCGTTAGCGTTGAAGATAAAAGATGCTGGGATTGAATTGTGGACGGGCCGGGGCATATATTCGGAGACAAACACAATCTACTGTTAGTGCCAGTGGTGTTTGTAAAAATAATAATTATTATTTGCCATCTATTTTTGCGAATTTTAGTTTTTTTGTGTATTTTTTATATTGTAGTGTTGTGGTTAGTACGTGTTATAATTATAATATGTATAATATAATAAATAATTATAATTATATAATAGAATAGTAAATATTTCTAGTTGCTAATGCAATTTTAGGACATGATTTATGAAACATTTGGGAGTGAAACTTGTTTACGCGCGCTGGGAGTAAAAATTCAAAACCGTGACATACGAGCTAGTGAGGTAGCCCTGACACACGATCTCGTTGTAACGAAACGTGTTAACGGCTTAGAAATACGTAGTGCCTGTATTTGTGAGCAGTCCACGTGTTTATCAAAAATATTGATATATTAATACAAATTTTGTAAAAGTGAATCAAATTATTACTCGTAAAAAAACATTTGTTACACGTAAAAAACTATTTTTATTATTTTACGCGAATAAAATTGTTACACGTAAAAAACTATTTTTTACGCGTATAAAACTATTTATTACTGGTAGAAAATTATTTTTCACGCGTATAAAACTATTTGTTAATGGTAGAAAACTATTTTTTACGCCTATAAAACTATTTGTTACTGGTAGAAAACTATTTTTTACGCGTATAAAACTATTTGTTACTTGTAAAAATCTATTTGTTACACGTAAAAAACTAATTTTTACACATCAAAAACTTATTGTTTCTGCTAAAAAAACTTTTTTACACAAAAAAGGAATATTTTTTACGTGTATAAAACTATCTGTTACACGTAAAAAACTAATTTTTACGCATCAAAAACTTATTGTTTCTAGTAAAACTCTTTTACCCCAAAAAAAATACTTTTTACGCGTCAAAAACTATCTGTTTCTGTTAAAAAAAAAACTTTTTTACGCATAAAAACTATTTTTTACGCGTAAGAAAATATTCCTTTAATTTATTACTTTTTCAACATTTCAAACTATGTACACTTTTTCAAACATTTCCTTCAAATTTTTGAATTTAATAGAATCTTCCTAAACAGTAGATGTTCTTTATAAAAATATTTTTAGATAATACCCTAAAATGAAAAGAAAATGCATATTATTTAATTAATTTTTATTGTATTATTAAATATAACGTCCGCCTATGACGGGGTCTCATCTTAGAAAACGCTAAAGACGCTACAGAGAACAAACTGATTTGTTTTCATTTGCGTTTTTTGCGAGACACGCCAAAAGCTACACGCTTTTGGTGTGGCCACTCCTATATAATCCTGTTATTTTGTTTTAGTCGCTAAAGACGCTTCACGCTAAAAACGCAAAAAACGCTTTCTGTGTGGCCATGGGCTAAGACTTCGCTGTCCGTCCGTCCGTCTGTCACAAAGGTCTATCTTATGAACCGTTACAGCTAGACAGTTAAAATTTTCACAGATAATGTATCTATGTTGCCGCTATAAGAACAAATACTAAAAACAGAATTAAATAAATGTTTATAAATAAAAAAGTACTTTCACGAAACATTATATTTTAAGTAAGAATTTTACATAGAATCTTTCAAGTCCTCGGTGGTCGCGTGGTTAAAGCGTTAGGACTTTACGCTGCTATGACGTTGGAGCCGTAGTAAGGTAGGTTCGAATCCTAGTCAAGGCGACTTTTTTAATCGTTTTTTTTTTAATTTTTACATATTTATTTTTACTTTTTACATATTTATTATCGATTAATACAATTTTTAGTAATTTGTTTTTTCATTTTTTTTAAATTACTTATACGCGCATTCAAAATTTCAGCTAAATCGGAAAAAAAGTTTATAATAATATAGTGTCTAATGTTGTATAGATAATGAACGGAACCCTTCGTGCGCGAATCCGACTCCCACTTGACCAATTTTTTATAATATATTCTGTTTAATTTGATTGCAATGTCTATACAAACTATGTTATAAATAAGTTATAAAAAGTAATTTTTTTAACATTTATTATGGTGCAAATAAGTTGAAGTAATGACTTGAAACAATTTTTTACAACTAAATTTATTTTTTCTTTAAACGAACAAAATGAGAATAGCCATCTATCTCAATTATTGTTGATTACTTCGTATAATATATGATAATGAAAAATATTTAAAAACATTATGCTCACCAAAACATAAAAAATACGTTTTAGTGCAGAATATATCAAATTCAGTGAGATGAATTACTTACAAGTCTATCTAACCTATCCAACTCCGCCCGCAACTCTTTATCCTCTGGATTATCTTCTAAGGCTTTATTAACTAAATAAGCATCTTTTTCCAACCTCCTTAATTTGTTTATCGTATTCCTTAATACAGTTTGCTTCTCTTGAATTGGTCGTCGTTGGTCGTCTACGCTATGCAGTAGAAGCTGAAGCCTCATCCTAGCCAGTTTTTCCAATGCTTCTTTGCGATGTGGCTCGACATAGAGCAGCAAATTGTTGACGATGTCCAGAAGCATCGCATACTAGTTGATGAAACATATAATCTTATTAAATTATGTGTCTATTTATAATAGTTTTTAAATTCATTTATATTATCAAATGGCAATTCATGGTAGTCAGAAGTTATAACGATTAAATAGGTTCATTCAGTAGCGAACTGTAAGTTAGTTTGATCGAGACTGTGTTATCTAACAACAAAACCAATAAACAAAAACGCGCTAAAGATTTGAAAGAACAAATAAAATTATCTAAGAAACAAAAAATCTGGGTTAATAACTATTAATTCGTGGTAAAGTTGTAAATAAAGAACAACCTAATTTCTAGTAACATAATTATACCTGTAAGGAATTTGTGCAAACATTCAAATCATGATGCATTAGAGTGAAGGCATCTACAGCAGACTGCCGAGTATCCCATGGACCAACGTCTTCCTGTGGGGGAGGGGGAATTTCTCCTATACCTAAAATATACATACGGGGTGTAAATTCATTATTTCTAAAAAATAAGGAGTTGATTATTTGCTAAAAAACAAAGGAAGCTTAAATGAAAAATATAAAATTACAAATATAATATAAATATAATTTTTTCGATGTGTCTTTAAAGCGGCTTATACATTATCAAACAAATTGCGCAACAAAGCGATGCGCAACATTGCGTTGCACAACTGATTCAGCGGTCCATACATTATCAAACAAGTTGCGCAACAAAGCGATGCGCAACGTTGCGTTGCACAACTGCATTACCCATGCACTTGGTAAAATTTTGATCAAACTTTTTTGTAAAAGTTGGGCATTGTTCGAGAAACAATTATGATGATGTCGATGATACCAAAAAACGAAAAAGAAACCATATAATTTGGATGAAAGGACTAAAATATTGTACAACGAAGCTCAATACACACATACACTACACAACGCGTTGCGTAGGGTCCTGTTGCACAAAAGAATTCAAATATACTTGAAACTTATAAAACAATTGTGCAACGCATCAAACGTTACCATACATTGGCAACTCGTTGCGCAACAGCCTGTGTTGCGGAATTTGTTTGATAATGTATGGGCCGCTTAAGTATTTTCTTATACAGGGTGGGCCAAACACACAATATTAACGACCTATTTTAAAAAGAGTTCGCACATATAGAATGAAATTTAGTATGTGGATAGCACTAATCAAATCCACTCTTTAGGGCGAATTCTTATATGGATATTATAGTCAATTTAAATACTTTTTTTTATCTGTACACATTTTATTAGCAGAAAAGATAGAAAAACAGTTAGCACTAGAACATTGAAACTTGGTGTGTTGATGACACTAATCAAATGACAGTTAATAACCTATAAGCGATACTAAATAAACTTTTAGTTACGTCATTGAGGGCGCGATAATTGAATTCATTGTTACCAACCATGGACATATTCGGCGCCGGGCTGACTAACTGGAATTTAAATCGTCGTTCGTTTTGATACTTTAGTTTTATTTTACGAGTTTTTGGTTTAAGTGAATTGTGTTGTGATACTTTAAGCTTAAAAAGTTTTACTAGCAGAACTTATAGTAGAATATTGTTCTTTTTAGAACCGCTTTTAGTGCGAGGTACCGAAGCAGCTTAATAAGCGTTGTAAAAAACCCATTCCAACCTTTTTAGAATATTTTGAACGATGAGGCCCCTTAAGTGCTGTTAAGGAGGTGAGTTTTACTGATAAATAAAAACTGTTTATATATTTATTAATTAATTCATTTTTTACTAAAATATTGCATTAAAAGAAAACATGGAAAAGTCGGCAACGCTATGCCGATCAAACTTAATCACGTGCTAAAAGTTTATTTGGTATAGTCTGTGAATCGAATAACTTTGAATTTGACAGTTTCCGTGGACTTTTCTAGTGTTAATTTTATTAGGTTAGCAATAAGGTTGCGGCCATGCTGACGCAATGCCGTCTCTAATAGAACAGCCTCGAAGCGAGATTTATGACGTCACGCTAGTTAGATCCTACGGATTAATAAATATGTTGTAGAATACATGGAAAACATAATTATTCTTCGTATTTTTGGTTTGTATTTTAAAAATGATATAGTTTACATGAAATATACATAATATAAAATTTTTTATACATAATATAAATTTTATGATCTATATGTGCTGTAGTCCCATTTGGAATACCCTCCCACGATTAAACCAGAAAAAAAATAGGCGTTAATTTTTTTTAGACAATATTATACTGAGTTATATTACGTATAGTGTTATATGTACTGAAATTCTATATTATTTGTTTTATTAATAGAAACTTATTATTATAATAAAAAAATGTCAATACCCTTTTTTACAATGTTAATACTTTCCTTTTCTTACAAATAGAATTCGAAAATATTTTCCTAGACTGTACAAATAAATATTATTACTAATTACCTTCAGGATCTACACTGATATCTCCATAACCAGCATAATAAAATTCACATTTGCATCGAGAAACGATGCGTTGTAACTAAAATATTTAAAGGTTTAAAATTTGAGAACTGGGTATATAATTTGACGTACCTGACTAGATGTACTGGGACCGACGGTATCGCTTACAACAGCACCCACTGATACGCCACTGCCAACGATGTTGGGCACATCCGATGGTTCGGATATTTCAGCGGACTCCTTTTCTTGGATATTGTCGACGGTCAACCACATTATATTTTCTATAAAGAGAAATTAAATAAGTTATTTATCATGTGATACCAACAATAATAAAATAGTTTTGGAAGATTTTTTGACCCCGCTCCCCCACTGGTGAGATACCGAGATTTGTCTCGATCCCCTCCCCCCCCCCTCCCCCACCCTAATCTCAGGTCAGATCTTTCAAAAGGTAAAAAACCTCATTCAGAACCTCGAAATTAGTGGAATAAATTAATGATTTCAATTAGTCATTTCAGTTGGCTTTCAAAATTAGTGGTATAGTAATTTTCAATTAGTAGAAAAAGTTAACAAACCTTTCCACTAATTATACTTCAAAATTTACGAGGAATGTAATTTTGGCCTTTGATTATCATCCGTCAAGAGAAATTGTGGTTAGAAATCAAAAGTTGATTGTTTTATAAGCTAAATATTAGACTCTCTTTATCCAAAATGACATTCCTCGTCAATTTTGAAGTATAATTAGTGGAAAAGTTTGTTAACTTTTTCTACTAATTGAAAACGACTACCATTAATTTTGACGTTCTGAATGCTTACGTTGAAATTAAAGGAACAAACTTCTATGCTAATTGAAACCACTAATTTATTCAACTAATTTCAAAGTTTTGAATGAAGTTAAAATTTGTTAACTTTCTCTACTAATTGAAAATCCCTACCACTAATTTTAACGTTCCGAATGCTTACATTGAAATTAAAGGAACAAACTTCTACGCTAATTAAAACCACTAATTTATTCAACTAATTTCAAAGTTTTGAATGGAGTTAAAATTTGTTAACTTTCTCTACTAATTGAATATTCCTACCACTAATTTTGATGTTCCGAATGCTTACATTGAAATTAAAGGAACAAACTTCTACGCTAATTGAAACCACTAATTTCAAAGTTCTGAATGAAGTTAAAATTTGTTAACTTTCTCTACTAATTGAATATTCCTACCACTGTTTGATGTTCCGAATGCTTACATTGTGAAATTAAAGACAAACTTCTACGCTAATTGAAACCACTAATTTATTCAACTAATTAAAGTTTTGAATGGAGTTAAAATTTGTTAACTTTCTCTACTAATTGAATATTCCTACCACTAATTTTGATGTTCACCGAATGCTTACGGTGAAATTAAAGGAACAAACTTCTACGCTAATTGAAACCACTAATTTCAAAGTTCTGAATGGAAGTTAAAATTTGTGCTTTCTCTACTAATTGAATATTCCTACCACTAATTTGATGTTCGGAATGCTTACATTTAAATTAGGAACAAACTTCTACCTTCAGTGAAACTACTAATTTATTCAACTAATTTCAAGGATAGGTTAAAATTTGTCAACTTTCTCTACTAATTGAATATTCTACCACTAATTTTGATGTTCCGAATGCTTACATTGAAATTAAAGGAACAAACTTCTACTTCATTGGAAACCACTAATTTCAAAGTTCTGAATGAAGTTAAATTTGTTAACTTTCTCTACTAATTGGAATATTCCTACCACTAATTTTGTAGGGCCTTACATTGAAATTAAAGGAACAAACTTCTACGCTAGTGGGCAATGACTAATTTCAAAGTTCTGAATGGAAGTTAAAATTTGTTAACTTTCTCTACTAATTGGATATTCCTACCACTAATTTTTAATTTCGAATGCTTACGGTGAAATTAAGACAAGCTTCTGCAGGTAGAGCCATAATTTATTCAGCTAATTTCAAAGTTTTGAATGGAGTTAAAATTTGTTAACTTTCTCTACTAATTGAATATTCCCTGCCACTAATTTTGATGTTCCGAATGCTTACATTGTTGAAATTAAGACAAACTTCTACGCTAATTGGAAACCACTGTTCAAAGTTCTGAATGAAGTTAAAATTTGTTAACTTTCTCTACTAATTGAATATTCCTACCACTAGTTTTGATGTTCCGAATGCTTGCATTTGGAGATTAAAGGAACAAACTTCTACGCTAATTAGAGCCACTAATTTCAAAGTTCTGAATGAAGTTAAAAATTTGTTAACTTTCTCTACTAATTGAATATTCCTGCCACTAATTTTGATGTTTCGAGATGCTTGCATTTGGAATTAAAAGACAAACTTCTACGCTAATTGAAACGACTAATTTCAAAGTTCTGAATGAAGTTAAATTTGTTAACTTTCTCTACTAATTGAATATTCCCTGCCACTAATTTTGATGTTCAGATGCTTACATTGAAATTAGGAACAAACTTCTACGCTAATTGGAAACCACTAATTTATTCAGCTAATTTCAAAGTTTGAATGGAGTTAAAATTTGTGCTTTCTCTACTTGGTGAATATTCCTACCACTAATTTTTGATGTTCGAATGTACATTGGAAATTAAAGGAACAAGCTTCACGCTAATTGAAACCACTAATTTCAAAGTTCTGAATGAGTTAAAAAATTTATTGCTTTCTCTACTAATTGAATATTCCTACCACTAATTTTGATGTTCGAATGCTTACATTGGGGAATTAAAGGAACAAACTTCTACGTAATTGAAACCACTAATTTATTCAGCTAATTTCAAGAGTTTTGGATGGAGTTAAATTTGTCCAACTTTCTCTACTAATTGAATATTCCTACCACTAATTTTTGATGTTCGAATGCTTACATTGAAATTAAAAGGAACAAACTTCTACGCTAATTGAAGCCACTAATTTCAAAGTTCTGAATGAGTTAAAAAAATTTGTTAACTTTCTCTACTAATTGAATATTCCCTACCACTAATTTTTGATTCGAGGATAGCATTGAGTTAAAGGAACAAACTTCTACGCTAGTGGAAGCCACTAATTTATTCAGCTAATTTCAAAGAGTTTTTGGATGGGTTAAAATTTGTGCTTTTCTCTACTAATTGAATATTCCTACCGCTAATTTTGATGTTCCGAATGCTTACATTAATTAAAGACAAACTTCTACGCTAATTGAAACCACTAATTTATTCAACTAATTTCAAAGTTTTGAATGGAGTTAAAATTTGTTAACTTTCTCTACTAATTGAATATTCCTACCACTAATTTTGATGTTCCGAATGCTTACATTGAAATTAAAGGAACAAACTTCTACGCTAATTGAAACCACTAATTTCAAAGTTCTGAATGAAGTTAAAATTTGTTAACTTTCTCTACTAATTGAATATTCCTACCACTAATTTTGATGTTCCGAATGCTTACATTGAAATTAAAGGAACAAACTTCTACGCTAATTGAAACCACTAATTTCAAAGTTCTGAATGAAGTTAAAATTTGTTAACTTTCTCTACTAATTGAATATTCCTACCACTAATTTTGATGTTCCGAATGCTTTACATTGAAATTAAAGAAACAAACTTCTACGCTAATTGAAACCAATAATTTATTCAACTAATATCAAAGTTTTGAATGAAGTTAAAATTTGTTAACTTTCTCTACTAATATAAAATTCCTACCAGTAATTTTGACGTTCTGAATGCTTACATTGAAATTAGAGGAACAAACTTCTACGCTAAGTGAAACCACTAATTTCGCGGTTCTGAATAAAACTTAATATTGTGTATAAAATATGTTTTTGTTGTTCTAATATTAGTTTTTCCGTTCAGCCTTATATTATCATCTATTCACTATAAACTATTTGTAAATACCCCCAGTATCGTTTTCTCCCGCATTCACAGTTGCATAATACTGCATGCACTCCAATAATCCTGTCCACGTGGTTTTTGACACTAGAGTTCTGTCCTTCCACGCGGGTCGGTGAATTCGCTGCATAATTTCCGCTTTGGCCGCACTTAATATCACATATCCCTTTGTTTCACAACCTTTTAATAGCACTTGGGCATTTACTAATGATACTAAAAATATAAAATAACATTAGAATGAATGCTACAATTTTAGTATTATTGATGTGCGAATAATTATGTGGATAATTTAAATTAGGCCAGTAAGCGAGGATAAAAATAGGGTATTACCTCCGAATTCTTGACACCCGCACCGATTGACGTGAAATTTTAACAGTGAATAGAGATATATGTAAGAAACAAAAGTTACATAGTAGCGATGTGTGCTTTCACCCTGGGGGTGAGTGCTACCCCTTCTCAAGGGTGAAAAGTAAATTACCCATTTTAATTACAAAAATCAATAAAGGGATGAATTCTAAGCAAAAAATGTTCTATAAAATTTTTTCAGATAATTAATATTTTCCGAGTTATTTAGGATTGAAAATGTTGATTTTTCATTTAAAAACTGCATACTATTCTGCAATTTTTTATAAATACATATATAGTTTTATAGCAAAACTCATCTAAAGGAAAAATGAAGCTTTTGGAACAACGAATCGATTCATTTTTTCTTATTTACCGTAGGTGTAGTAATAGCCAAGACATTCTGTAAACTCGATTCTTTATTTTTCGAAAACTAAATTGTAAATTTTTACCGTAAAATAATGGCGAAAGAACACATTTTTCGAAGAAAATGAATATGACCGTTTTTAAAGTGCTTGAAAAGACCTTTTAAATGTCTTGTTTTTAAAGGTCTTTTCAAGTTCGTAGCTCAAAAACTTGCGGAGTTATGATAAAAATAAAATGGTCACCTCATTTTTTTGGAAAAAAATTAACAACAAAATCTAAAATCATAAAAATAAAAACTAACAATTTGTAGGAAATTACACGAGCTACAAATTAACCTCTATAGTTGAACAGTCTTGAACTCTTCATTTTCACGAGATTTTTGGGTTTTAAGGGCTCTAAGAAGATGGGCCTTACATGCAAGTCAAACTAAAAAAACGTTATATCTACGAAATAAAGAGATCTATAGAAAAATTGAAAGAGAGCAAAAATATTGCAAAAAAAAGATCTTCAATTTTCCTCTGTTGCATTTTTTACGTATCTTGCTTAGTTTTTGAGATATGTCAAAACAATTAAAATTTTTTAAAAAACAAAAAAAATTTTTTTTTTCATTATTTTCAACTTTTTTCCAAATTTAGGCATTCTAAACCGCTCGAACTTGCAGAGTCAATTGTTGGTACCTAAATATAGCCAACTGTACATGTATTACTCTTAGTTTTTAGTTTTATGATTTTAGTCATAGATTTAGTTTGTGTAATTTTTTTCCGAAATAATGGGGTGAAAATATTATTTTTATCATAACTCCGCGAGTTTTTGAACTTTTTTATGAAAGCATTTAAAAAGTCTTTTCAAGCACTTTAAAAACGGTCATATTAATTTCTTTCGAAAAATGTGTTGTTTCGCCATATATTTTACGGTAAAAAGTAGCAATTTAATTTTCGAAAAATAAAAAATCACGTTTACAGAATGATAACTCGATTATTATTACACCTACGGTAATCAACAAAGAATGGATCGTTTAGTTATTCCAAAAGCTTCATTTTTACTTTATATAAGTTTTGCGATAAAGTGCAAGGTTTTCGAGTTATTTATAAAAATTGTCAAAAAAATATGCAGTTTTTAGACGAAAAATCAACACTTTCAATCCTAAATACTAGGAAAATGTTAATTTTCTGAAAAAATGTTATAGAACATTTTTTGCTTAAAATTTATTTCGTTATTGATTATTGCAATTAAAATGGGTGATTAATTTTCACCCCCGAGAAGGGGTGGCACTCACCCCCAGGGTGAAAGCACACATCGCTACTATGTAACTCTTGTTTCTTACAGATATCTCTATTCACTGCTAAAATTTCACGTCAATCGGTGCAGGTGTTCAGAATTCGGACCATAAAACCCTCGCTTACTGGCCTAAATACAGTATTACTTCTCAAAGAAGATTATTACTTTGCCAATTTTTATGAACTACATCGTCTTCCTGGCATGCTTGTGCTCCTTGCAAATGCTGTTGCCTAGATACAGCGGACAAATCGTCACTGTATACAATGGAATTGTTATCGGCTTCGGCAATTAATTGTTGCAACATATTTGCAGCGTGTCCGGATTGCAATTTACTTATTGGCGATGGCGTGTCTTGGGAAGAGCTTGAAGACTGAATAGCCTAAAATGAAAATATAAAGTACGTCTACTGGATTTGTGTCTATGAAAAGAATGCGGATAAAAAACATTTAAGTAAACAGCAATATGTTTTATAAATCGCTACCTATACAGAAGCACAGATTATACACATTATAAACTTTGTTTTTTTTTATTGTCTTTTGTGGTTCCAATTTTCGGAATCGGGCACTAGTTAGGTTACTAGTTTGCGCACATAGCACGCCCACTTATGGCCTCTAAAATTGTGCACAGCGCCTGATCGGACCAGTTATTAGAGAGACATCGGTAAATTGAATAGCGTCATGCAGTATTTACGCGTACCTTATTTTGACAGTTACGATATGCGCGAGTCAATTTTTAACGCAATGCTCGCTAACGTACCCGCCTGATGTAATTTGGGGATCAATTACAGCAAGCGTTTTTTAATTAAATAAATATGGCCCAATATATGGATTCCACCTCTTCCAATATTAAAGAACCTATAAAAAGGCTTAGGTTTACAGCAGATGACGACATAGCCCGTCTAAGAGAATTTGTTGCCCCAAAACCCACTGGCAGACGTTGAACAATAAAGCACTGGAAAAAAGCACTTTAGCCCTTTAGTTTTAAAATACCTAGTAAACAAAACAATTTCAAAGTTAGGTTAAGTTGAAATAGCGGACGCGACGCGAACAGATTTTTTTCCGATCCGATAACTATAAATGAAGAGAGTTAATACCACCTCACGTAAAGGAAATAACACCTGGCGTTATTAACGTCCATGCACGCTATTCGGTTTACCGATATCTCTCTATTACGCTGCTTACTGTTATTTTACGCTAGTTTATTTTTGCGCACAGAAAATTTTACTCGTTTGCTCATCGTCATAAAAAAAATTTTCGTACCACGAATTAGGGACAAGATTTTTATCTGTATACATATAGTATACCTAATCTGTGATAGAAGCGGCAGTGACTTGATGCGGTGTACTTGATGAGCGGTGTACTTGATGAGTATGTCACCGCAAATCACTATCCGCCCACTCACTTCATTGGCTACTTACAAATTTGTCGAATTTTTATTGATGGGGCGCGTCGTCTATTTTTTTACGAGAAACATCGATTAAACGGTAACAGAGAATATCGTTTCCCCCCTTACGGATGCCCCGTAGCTACAAAACGGATAGACGTATTGTACGAAACATTTATATAGTCCTCCATATATATAGTACATTTATGTGATAGTGGTAATCTCGACCGTACTTCTAAATTTAATGTGGAACAATATCGGGTAGCGGTCTGTAGATTCAATTTAAACTAATTTGTTTTTAAACTCGATGTTTAAACAGTATCAGTACTGTTTCTATCCATTGTACTTGGTTTGTTAATTGTTGACATATATTTTAGATTGAAATCTTTTGTCTTGTGCAAGTTGTAAAATGTTCGTGTTATAATAGGATTATATTCAATGACTAAATGTTTTACTCCTGAAGAAGTTAATAAAAATTAACGAAATATCGAGTTTAAAAACAAATTAGTTTAAATTGAATCTACAGACCGCTACCCGATATTGTTCCACATTAAATATAGTACATTTATATAGTCCCCCCGTATAGTTGACAATCTATCAAAATGAACGGATTCTTATAAAACTTTTTACTTTTAGGTCGTGATGGTTCCGGAAATGATTTTTCAGGTTATCAAAGTATGAAGCTAAAAAAGTTTCTTTGACAATGTATTTATAGATTTTTTCTGTCAAAATAAACTCGCAAAAAAAATTAAAATTTTGCGTGCAGTATTTGAAATGAAACTTCTTACTTCCGGCTGTCTGTCTGTCCGTCTGAGGACTCCGACCTCATACCATGGAGAGATCACCCGACCGGATAGCCCTGGCAGCTGTGACCATTAAACTAAAATATTACTACCACTATGTAGTCTGTGGGTGGTTTTGTTTTTTTGTAAATTATTCATTATTTATAGGGATTTACAGTAATTTTATTAAATTATACGAATATTCTCGTTGATTATTGGTTTGAAATAAATAAGGGTTCTCCAATGAAAATGTGAGTTACTAACTCTAATAATTCTAATCCTGAGCTAGTAAATGAGTTAGATGCCTTACCTAGACCGTTATTCAGAAGCTACAAACCTATAGATGAAAATATCCATGAAAATTTACTTCCTTGCACACAACCAGAAAATATTGGTACAGTATCAAGTTTATTGTAGTGACTTTCTTAGCCGCGTATGGCACAGACATAGATTGTTACCCAGAGCGAATTAAATTGTTTTACAAAGGTGTAGAGATTTACCCCTAATGGGGTAGCAGTGGCAACACTGCCGTTACCACTTTTCCTGACGTTAGCTTGTGTGTTACGGCTTTGAATTTTTACTCTCAACGCGCGTAAAGCAGTTTCACTTCAAAAACGAAAACAGGAAATTACAGTTATTCAGCCATATTTCCGAAAATTACAAAAATACTTATACGTATAGTTATATAAACGTATTAGCATTGGGCTCACTAACAGGTAACTTTGTCCCATTTTAAACCACCTCGAATCTTTTACCGTTTCCGAGATCCCAATGGTAAGAGCCGAATTTGAAACACCCCGTATAATTCATACGTTCAAAATCTTACCTGTATTGAAACATTAGGAGGTGTACTAGTGGAATCTGTGTTCCTTCTCTTCATAGGCGTAGTATTAGTATCTTTTCTGAATCCTTTTAATGCTTCAGTCGACAAATTTTTCTTCATACGCTAAAAATTATACAGAGCAGTCAAATATATTCAATTTACTGTATAATAAAAATTACTTTTGTTTTCATAAATGTATCAAATAATACGAACGCTACATTTCTGTTACTTTTAGTCCAGGCACCTCTTAAATCGTAAACGACTAATTTGTGAGTAGGCGTTTCCCTATTACTATCAGCACCAGTTTGATTTGGCAATTTTGTTTCTCTGCCATAGGATACCTAATAAAATATTCGTTTAGAGAAAAATAAATATCAGTAAACTGACCACTAGACCTTAGCTACTGACAAACAATATGTTTTCTCTATAGGCTGTAATCTGGAGGTTTCAATTTCCGAATCGTCTTGTAGCGCAGTCTTTAACCAAATCTCAGAGTCTGTCAATTCAGAATTCATGTATACTATTGACCATTCGGCCTTTGGTCTGTGTTTTAGTCCGTCATCTATTGCTATCAGAGATAGCGAATGTTCTAAAAATATAATATTATGTTTTAAGAACTGCTCATTATTACTGTGATATAAAAATGTACTTATCAGACATACATAAAATTTAAATCATATAATGTTCATCAGATTGGCTTGTTCCATCATATTTCATTTGTATGTTTTTTAAACAGTTTTGGATACTACTTATTATAATAATTCCATTAAAATTTCAAAATGAAATCTCTTGGCGTTTTAAAGAAATAAGACATTACGTTTTAGAGAAATAAGATATTAAAGTTTATAACGTCAAGACGAGTAGTTTCACACATCATGACTTGCCGTCAATTAGTTCACAACGGAAACAGTGATTCTTGAATTAACGTGATTTGGCATTTTATCGTTATTTAAGGTAATTTGTTGGTTTATTCTCACAAAATGTATTAGGTAGTAGATGGGTTCCATAAAGATGGTTCGGGTAATCTCCCAGACGTGAACATTTTCATGATAATAGACTATTTTAATGAAATTAAGGAATTTATTAGTTTATAAATGAAAGGAATAAAGTTACAAATATTAGTAAACTTTTTATGTTTTATTCTATTTTCTAAAGTAATCGCAAAACAATTTCCGATGCGCGTGATCAACTTTGAGTCACAAGCGATAAGCGATGCCGACAGCGCTGTCAGATTGTGATTGATTTATGAGATGATGATAAGATGACTCTTGTAATGTAAAACTGGGAAACAATATATTTGTTATATCATTTTTACGTTTTATTTTTAATTTAATAATAATTAATATTTCAGTAATTAATTTATTTATTAACAGTAGTCACTAATACTGACAGTAGCATATTTAAATTTAAGGCAGTAGCTACTCAGTACAAATCGAAATAAGTAGAAATAACTTTGAAAGTGGTACATGTGCTTACCAATCACGCTTACTTCTCTGACTGCAGTCAAGGGTAATAAAGGACATTTATTGTCACGTTCTCGTTCAAAATAGTTTATGAGAAAACTACAGGCTCTTTGCTTTAATTGTTTAAATGCTTCGGCATATTTTCGATGCACAATTTCAAGAAATGCAATACAAAAACTCGAAAATTTAGTTCTTAAAAGAACTGTTTGTGCTTAAAAGTACCATTTTTAAAAAAAATGCTATGAAAATCGGTAAAAAAACAAGAATTACTCCCAAAGATTCAACAACAACACGATATTATACAAAATAATGACTGACATTATGATAATTGTCAAAAAATAAATGACAACGTTGCTGATCGCGTCGCAATGTGACAACCATGGCGATAATAAAAATCGCTTTAAACTAATTTTTGCATCTTTAATCTAAGCAAAAAATCTGTTAAAATGTTTTGCTCTATGAAGTAAAATGAGAGCTGCTCGGTATCTTAAATCACACAAAAAATTTAAACATTTGGCCAAAATCTCATTTAGTCAGGTTTATAGGCTTTAGTGTCAATTTCAATATGATTGATGACGTGCATCGGAAAATGTTTTGCGATTACCGTATTTAAATACTAATAATAAATAATATATTTTATAGCGGTTTGTAGGTGTAGTACATGGTACAAAGAAAACAAGGTATACTCGATAGCGGCTCCAATTTCGTTAAGTCTACGCATACCACCTGTGATGTCATACGCCAGACAAAAAATATACATATTGTGCAATTTGCCCCTAATAAAAAAAGACATAAAATAGGGAAGAATTAGGACATAACCCCAAAAGTTATGTCAAATTCATGGAGCTTGATATTTGAAAAATTATTTTCACATTTATGTCATCTGTTATGTCATCTGTTTGACAATTTGAAATTGGCGCGCGGAGCTTGCCGACCAATGGTGCTGTTTATCACCTGTGACGTAATGACCAACCTGCGCAATATCATACCTTGTGGTGTAGTAAACATTATGATTATAATATGATTGTTCACAAATAAATAGAATATTATAGAAGGTGATGGTGCATGTATTGTCATATTAAAAAAAATCGTCATTTCTTTTCATTCATTCCATTCAACAAATACCAGAAACCAGTTGATATTTTTAAATAACAACAACAGAGTTTCAAATGTTATTTATTTATACCAGTATACTTTCATCTTATAAGCTAGAAAACGTTGATAAATATAGAACATCTACTCTGGATATAGCCTACAATCTGTCCAACCAGACTATAGAACAGTGACATAACAGTGTTATCTGAGATTTTAACTTATTATTATATTAAATTACGGTTCATAGTTATTTTCTCAATCTTTCAATGTCGCTTGTCAAATTCTTATTTCTTTCGTTGGACATACTCTAATAACTAATAATATTTATAAACACACTTTTTTATTGCAGTACAAACTCATTGCCATCAATTCGAAATACCTTAATAAACAAATAAACAGGAATTATAGACTTACCAGAACTGGACGATAGTCGCCCGCCAAACAATTCGCAACCTCGGTGCATCGAGAAAGACATCCAATAACAAACTTGAAACTGATGCAAACCAACGAGAAGATTAATTTTCTTGTAGTGCCGACTTAACTGAATTTTCCTCGGTCGTAAATTGTTAAAAATTTTACCTCGTTTCGTAGGTCGCGTCACACCTACAAATAATACCAGCCGATAAAACTTAATTTTATTTCTGTAATTTCAAGAGGTAATTTGTAAGTTTATTATAGACAGATATTGAAAGAATAGATTTAACAGGCAGTGAAATGACGAAAATGAAAAGAAACAAGAAAACAAAAAAAAATTCACTGACCAGATAAAATTAGTTTTAAGTTTTCTATCCATCTTAAAGTACTTCCGTAAAGTAGTAGGGTAGGGCAACTACTTGGAGATTGATTCGGTGACGGTCTAGTTTCGAGGACAATACTGAGGTTTACATTCTGCGACCGGAAAGCTCTGAACGAGTCATGAACCTAAAAATTTATAAAATTCCACTTATATCATAATTTATTACTTCGTTATTGTGGTGTATTGTATTATTAAGTAATAAATTGTAGTTTTTACTTGTGTAATGAATCAGGTAAAGTGCGTTATCGTGTGTTTGAGTATAATGACAAATGGAATCTGGAAATCCGTGTTCAGACCTAATGAACGAACATGAACGAGTATGAACAAACACAGATAAACACGAGCAAGCTTCATGATCACAAAGAAAGGCGAATAATAGGTTCATCAGTGTAACGAATCCGTTTTATTCCAATATTTATAAATCTGGCAACAGTGCCGCGATTTCAGCTCATTTGAATAATTTCACATGTTGTTTCAATTTCATCAAACAGGAGAATCCCAGGGATTCAATGTAATTACAAATTAACAAACAATAATTAAATTTATTTAATGTTATCTATAAATTAGGTTGCTTAATTTTTACCGCTAATTAATGGTTAAATTTGATACACAAATATTTTTGTTTTTGTTGTTTTGATACAGAATCAAATTTAAAGAAGGCGTCCATTCTTCTCAAAGAGACCTGGTTCAAATTAAAAAAGTGAGAGAACCGAGACTTTGAGCCTTTTTTCTACTTTTTTAATACAGAATCAAGTAAACCTAAAAGTGAATAGCCTAAAATACTAATCTGAAGGTAAGGATGTTAATCGCCTTGAGCATGCGAAACGATATAATTAATAAGGATTTTATTTTGAAGGTCTTGGGTGTTAATAGCATTGGCCGCTAAGAGGGTGGATTGAGAGGAAATAGCACGACCTAACGATTTCCCCGAGGGCCGTTTCCCGAACTGGAACACTTTGGACAGGTTCTAGTTCTCAAATCTGGTGTACCACAACGATAGCAATGGATTTTTCTGGGATTAGGACAATTACGATTTATGTGACCAGTCTTCTGGCAATTCCTACAAGTAATTTCCCTAGACAAATTATTCGAATTATTCTGTAGGCCTCAAGAGATTTCACTGACTTGGTTTTCTTCAGCAACAAAATTATAAGATGTAGACGGTTGTGGATTCTCCACTCCTACAAAAGCAAAGTCCGGTTCTACAAATTCTTGCTTCTTCCTAGACGGAGGTACGTAGCTTTCAGCACGATATTTCTTCACTTCTAACTTAAGGCATTCCGTCTCAAGTTCTTCAATCGTATTTACAACAGGAAGTTGCGTGGTATAAAATGGGGAAAAATTTCTACACAAAATATTCAGTTGAGTCTCTGGAGATAAACAATGCCTGCATACATGAAAGATAGTCAACTGTAGTCTCGGAGGTATCCTGTGTTCTTTCTAAAATTTCTTTAAAGAGTCTAGCACGATAGTCAGGTGGCTCAAACTGATTACGCAACAAATTACTCAAACCCTGCCAATCTTGAAATCTGTTATTATTTGCCCTAAACCAATTTAAAGCTTTTCGGGAGAACCAATCAATGGCCGAATCAAATAATTGTTTTTCAGTTATATTACGAGCCAAGCGCAACTCATTCACTCTTTCCAGGAAATTGTGGACTGATAGCTTTTTAATGTCGCCGGAAAATTTTAAATTCCATTTCTCAATATTTTGGTATTTTGACGGATTGACGCTATGTACAAAAGGAACAGATTGACTAGTAGAATTATGTACTTGTGAAGAATGTAATGGTATATCATCATCGGGATCTCGAAAGTGATTGCCTAACTGAGGTTCTTGTCGAGACGTAGTTTCTAAGGTATCGAGTGCTGCTCAAACATCAATCAAAAGTTCGGTTTTCTCAGATTGCTGTTTGTCGTTTAAAATTGTGTCAGGGATTCTATTTACACGGTTAAGCAGGTGGACTAGTCTAGACTGAATGGACAGAAATTTGTTTTGGACGTTCTCTTCCGATGATACTACACTAATGGACTCATTAACCTCGTCTAATAGCGTACGAATAATTATCTTTTCATCATCAAACTTTAGGTTATAAGGAGAAGATTTGAAAGCTCCAGCCTTTTCAATTTTTAATAAAGGTCGCAAGGTAGTTGTTTACTCAATTTATCGACAGTACTTTGATCATCAACAGACATACCACGAACCCTAAGCTCATGAAGTAACATTTCCTTTTTGAGATAACATATATTCATTTTAAAATCCATAATGCCGAGAAATTTAAATAAAATACAAATTTAAATATTAAATGTAAAATTTTTAAAAATAATAATGATGTTAATTATAAAGTAAAAATACGAAATATTTATTATATCAGTAATTATAAAGTTCAGTTCGGAAAGCAAACCAAGTGTTTAAGGTGTTAAATGGCAAAATAAGAATTGTCAACAAAAATAAAACAAAGAAAAAAAAAAGCAAGTAACTATCAAATTATTTTTGATACACAAATTGTTTTTGATACACAAACCAAAAATTTCGAAAATTTGGATGTCATTTGAAGTCTACAAAGAGGGCAAAACTAAAAGTGATTGCAATTTATGCAAAGAGCCCCGAAGACAAATGAAAAGAACAATTCTTCAACAAATTCCTCATTGGAACTGCTACAATGACTTTATACCACCTTCCACATCTTTATCCTCTATTATGAGTGGTTCAAAAGACAACAACTTATATTAACTTGAAGTTTGCTACAGAATGCTGATTACTGATAAAAAGTCAATCCACAAACCAACATATTTTTTAATTATAAATTACAATACTCCGTGCCGTATGTAGTGAACAACCCTGTATATCACTAAAGGCGATACGGCCGGATCAACCAGATTTAGTGGTGTCGCCGAAATTCTCTAATCTTTATTTCTAGAAAAATTATGGACGTTGTGCGCAGGGGGCGCAGAAAAATATGATTGGAAGTACTGGGTTTACACATTTACAAAAATTAATTAACACGTTTATTTTAGATGAAATAAAAAGAGAGATAAACAAAAACGTCAATCGTGAATGGGTTCACACTTCAAAAACAGAAATTACTGTGGTGCATCTAATTTGTTTAACAACTTAGCTACAGAAAATTCTGGACATTTCAATTTCATACCAATGTCTTTTTTTTGGTATGATGCCTAAAATATTGATATCGTAACTAAATAAGCAGCACGGTCTCCTGACAAGATATATGGCTGTCAAGTGCTACTTGAACAAGCTCAACCTGTATCAAGAAAGTATTTGCTGCAGACTTCCCGATAGAGATCCTGGCAGAGCAGAGCACATAATGTGTCACTGGGAGGCTCTGGATCGCAAGCGACACATTCTATTTGTGAAAACAAGGCTAGAAACAGAGAAACTATGCTCCCATCCTATGGACCAGCACAAGTTACAGGACTAAGAGAGTGGGTCCATAGAATAGCCCCTTAATATTAAGAAAAAAAGACAAGCAACACTGTAAACTTTTTTAGGCTATTCTCTTTTTAAAATCCCTCTTCAACTTTTTCCAAATGGACCAACGATTCTAGAGTAAAAATCTTATTTTGATTTTATTTTTATTAAAAACAAGTTTCTCAAACTTTACGAAAAAAAATCTTACCTGATTACTTGAATACTCGGGTATTTTATCTGGGGCACAATAAATGACATTGTGATGATCATTTGGATCGCCAAGACATACCCAGTGAAATCCAAGAATTAATTTTAAATTAGGAAGCTTAAGTAACTGCACGTCATCATATTTGGAAGCGGTCCTTACAAAAATATTCAAATCACCTTTAAATACTAATTTTGCTGAAAAAAAATTAAATTCAAATTTAAAATAAAATATTTTTATTTTAAACTGAGTAAATGAAAAGTAAAAAAGAGGAAATTAAAAGTAGACGTTACCATTAGTCCAGTCCATAATAACTTTCTCCCACGTAAGAGCCATTTCTTCTGTAGTATTGTACGGGTCCAGAGAAGCGTGTAGGAGTACCTGGAGCTTTTGAACCACCATAGTTAGACGCCCGTGCATTAACAGTCTTACTTTGTCCCAAAATGGTAGTGGTGGAGAGGGATCACGCGAAGGGGCGGATATTCTATTAAAACCTGTCATATAAAATAAATATATACTGTTAAAATAAACACTTAATTTGAAGTTAGTAAGAAAAACAACTGCTCTACTCGTGAACCCATAGAGTTAATGCAGTATGTAACACACGGGATCACAACAGATAAACTAGCTGGTAGTCAATAACATGTTTATTTTATCTGATAATGAAGATTGGTACAACTATCCGAAACGTCGTAGTTGTATGGTTCAGTAAAAATAAAAAAAATACGCAGCAGTTCTATTTCAAGATACAAAATATTATATGAAAGTCCTTACTTAAGTTGCATTGTGCTATAACTGGCTCCCAACATGGACCAAAAGCATAACTGAAGGACTCAATTTCGCAATTAAGATCGTAATAAAACTTTAAGGGTTGCATGCTCCGTGATATTTCGTAAGGCCCAAAACTTCCAAATGGTCCGCATTCGCCCATCTCGATAAGAACAGTTCTAGTAGCTGAAAATAAAGATATTACTTTAGCAATAAATGATTTTAAAATGTATTAATTAAATATGGAAGGTAAAGAAAAAAAGAAGACGTTACCACAAAACTGACGTTTACAGAGAAAACTGATATAATATAATGTTGCCTAAAGATACAAAATATTTATTACTGTATGCGTTATTATTTGGACAACGTTTTGTTATATTCAATTATAATTTAGCATGTGTTTGAAACTTTAGAACAGATTAAGTTAATTACTTAAAAATTCCTATAAAACGTAGATCGTTGATTCCTCTTCCTTACTCTTCATATATATAATATTTATTTAAATGATATACAGTGTGTCTCAAGTTTAAAACAAATGGAAAAAAATTGACATGCCTAATAATAAAAAATGATTTTGACATGTGTCATGTGGCAACTCTCTTTTTTTTGGCGGCAATTAACAGAAAAGCTCTTTAGATATGTAATAATTGGCTTAGATAATAAACTATATAGTCCCCTATGACGGTTTGTTGATATTTGATTTTTTTTAGAATTTAGAATGAGTGGGAGGGGGGTTAATCACTTCGACCTTACAGATCCATTGTGTCCCCCTTTCTTGAATCATAACTCATCATACAGTCCCAGGGCTTTGACAAAAGCCAGTATCTGGGACGGTTTTATAGAGGGTAGTTCTCCATCTCCAATATCAGTCGTACCAAAATTCATGGCACGAATTGTTGTCGTCTCGGCGCACTCAGTGATGAGGTGTACTGGTGTTTCCCCATCTTCCCCACAGAATCTGCATTCGCCGTTTCTTCTTAGTTTCAATCTACTGAGGTGTTCATTGAGGAAACAGTGTCCTGTTAAAAACCCCGTGACAATCCGAAGATTGTTCTTACTCAGACCCAGGAAGATCTGTGATTTTTCTTGATCATAAGCCCTCAGAAACTTCTTCGAGTGTCTTAGACCATTGCAAGATTTCCATTCCAGGTTACGTATGGAATCTTCCAAGTTCTTGTGATATTTGATATGCCAGGTGGTATAACTTTAATTAGCTTCGCAGATGATATTGCTATGGTTATTGTAGGTGAAAATGAAGAGAATCTAATAAATTTAGGAAATTCTGACATAGCGAGAGTAGTAACATGGATGATACAGTCCCAGAATATAGAATAAGAACATGATCTCCAGTTAGCACTACATAAGCTGTTCTACTCACAACAAGAAGAAAAATCGCCCCAATTTACTTCAACGTCTAGGAATAGATATTGCACCCTCTAAGCAATAAAATATTTGGGGGTGTGGCTAGATACAAAGTTGACTTTTGGAGAACACATAAGTAAGATAGTGGTTAAAGCGGAGAAACCCGTAGTTGCAATGTTAAATTTAATGCCGAAAATAAGAGGTCCCAGAGAGTCTAGCGTTTGGCATGGTATACAACTACTAAATGTCAGAATAGACTGGTAAAACTAAGGAGATTACAGAGGGCTTTGTGCATGAGTTTGCAGCGCCTACCAAACTATATCAGGAAAGGGCGTTGGTGTTATTGCCGAAATTGATCTCCTGATACAAGGGAGGTATGAAGTCTACAATGGTTCGACAAAAAACGGAGCCAGAGCGCAACTCATGGAAAAATGGACGGGCGGAAGGCATGGAAGGTGGACATTTACACTCATTCCGAATCTGCAAAAATGGATAACGCGATCTTATGGTGAAGTCGATTACTATATCACCCAGATATTATCAGGACACGGCTATTTTACAAAAATATTTATACTGTTACGGATTCCGTGGGTCCACTAATTTAAACTCACGATAAAATACTTAACGATTTATTTTCTCACTCTGTACACACAATTTATAGTGATTATAATACACAATTTATGCAACTACTATTACTCTAACTTTTCTGGCACCTTCGCCAATTAATTCACAATTTAAAACGCGGTATTATCAAACTTCAAACTGTGTTCAACTGCCGAGCGCGGGCTTTATATATACTCTACTGACTGTTTCTCGAACCTTCTGTGGTTTTCGATACTTTTCTGCCATCTACTAGTAAATTCTATTGTCTGATTTGCTTACTTGTCGACTTGATTAAGAGATGGCGCATAAAAATGTATTTTACTTTCTGGCGAATTCGCCAGGTTTCTCAATACACGCTGCGGTTTAGTTTGCCATATACACCTTAACAATACATTAGAAAGAAAATCGACACTCCGGACTACGACTTACTGTCAAGCTGAAGACGACGCCGAACACACTCTTTTCAATTGTTGTAGATGGTAGAAACAAAGGGAGGAGTTCTATAATAGGACGGGAAATAAATTTTGCGTGGCAGAAGTGGTAAAATGTCTAGTACGAAGTGAACAAGAATGACAGAATGCTGTGGCACTTATGAAATATATCATAACGACAAAAATTTCTGAACGTGAGACATAATGTCTTTAGAACGCCACTGTAATGAAGTAATGCGAGAGCGGATTCCGTTGCAGATGGTGAATGCTGCTGGTGAAGGTTTTTTTTTGTTGGTAAGAATCCGACACTATTCGGTAAAACACTCTTTTTTTCTGGATGTCTTATGTAAGATTTTTCCCCAACACCACACCAAAAACAAAAAATAAACTAGTCCGAGATAATTTAATGTGCTAAATCGATGAAATTCGGATTTATACGTTCTGTATTGTGTGGTTTTACTGACACTTTGTATAGTTCTTTTCCCGTAACTATACCGTGTTTTGATATTTAAACTCCAAAAAATGTTCGTTTTTTTCTAATCTAAAAGAAAAATAATATACAGGGCAATGCATTAAAGATAATGTGAGTTTTTCATCACGGATTTACTCTGTTATCCTTGGTGTTTTGGAAAATATAGGTAAGTATAAATAAAGTTCAGGTTTTTACCACTTTTCAGATATGCAGAATTTTATGCTGAATCAAATTCCGTACTAAAAATGGGGATTACAATTTCAAAACAAACCCTTGTAACTTCATCATTACTTTTTTTTCGGGCACCCTGTATGTGGAATGAGTGGGAGGGGGGGGGGGGTAATCACCGCGACCTTAAGGCAACCTTAAAGATCTATTGTGCCCCCGATACCCTGTATTTAAAAACTAATTTTAGTGTATGCACTTTTATACACCATGCAACAATTTTATTAAACTTTATTTCTTATCTATGTCAACGACCGACGCGACGATGATATTGGACTTCCTCGCACTAGTAGGCCACCCGGTATAATGCTTTTAAGGGCACAAATATGTAAAAAATGTAGGTAACATTACAACTCTATTAAAAAATAGTATTAACATATTAATATTTATAAAGTCTATAGATATTAATTTAACAAAATAAAACCGAACCAAATCGGAAAAGATCATTAATTTTATATTAGGTCTGATATAGTTATGAAAGAATAATAATGTAATTTTTATTCGTAATAAACCATAATAACAATAGTCATTGTAGGAATATAAATATTTCCTGTCCATTTTTAGGAGTTTAATTACTTACGATTGAAATGATATGTTTATTGTCCCTACCGCTGTGTTATTAAATGCCGCCTTATTCCACTGCATTGTCAAGATTCTTGTTTGAATGCATTTGTCGCAAAAATGATAAAATTACGAAATATATACACGATTTTACTGGTTGTAGATATAATTTGTACTATCGTCGACCAATGCCTTTCCGACCCGATTAACAGTGAAAATACCAGGGTAAGATACATATTATTTTCTGCGTTAAATAAATTAAAAATAAAAATCTAACATTAACAAAATAGCATGTGCATGTTCTTGTTAATACAATGTCACAGATATATGTGCTGGAAAGTTGAGAGTATCTCTTTTCAACGCAAATATATGCCCTTAAATATGATATACTATGCCTATATTATAAAAAAGACTTCTTTTATGCCTTAGCATTGTAAGTCCATCTTTTATACGCAAGTTTCCCAATACATATCTTGAATATACTGTAAATAAGGTGTATAAAATTTCTTAAAATATATACAGGTTCGCCTCTCCCATACGAAGCGGAGACTGTAAGGAAAACGACAGTTTGCATGAAAATTAAATTTTGTGAGCATTCGACGTAGGTTAATTAAAAGAATTTTTTAAAAATTAAATGTACAGGGTTGTTCATCACATACGGCACGGAGTATTGTGGCTAAATGATTAGATTCTTTCAAATTGTAAGTTTGGGGTTCGTTGAAGAACTATTAGAGCTATAATTTAAAATAGTTTTACAAGATACAGAGTGTCCCAAATATGTAAAAAATATTATAGTTGTATTTTTTTAAATGGAACACCCTGTATATTATTCTATTTTTAGATTCTGCAATTGAAATAAAGGTAAATTTGATTAAGGTTTATCACACTTAAACCTTACCCTTTTTGAAATATTTTCAATTTTGTGAAATTGCGGTAAAAAATGTTAGGCTTCGTTTCTGCAAGGGTATCAAAGTTTTTAATACCAAATATTTATTAAGATTATTTATTGATCAGATATTGTGTTGTAATAATAAAAATTATACCACTTTATACAGAGTGTCCAAAAATTTATATTAAATAATTACTAGATTTAAACTTTTAAATTAAACATTCGGCAAAACTTTTAAATTAAACATTCACGTAAAATATTTAAATTAAAATTAAAATTTTAATTTAAATATTTTACGTAAATGAGATGCACAACTTAATTGACACAAAATTAATTATCTATCAAATTGTATTATACCATTATTACCTTCAAGTTTTCGTAGAAAATGCATTTTCATATAATTTAGACCTTATTTATCACAATGGAATTTTGACATTTTTTATTTTTTAAAGCAACATACGTACAAAATTTACAGGTGGTAAAAATATTAATATTGCAATACCACTTGTTTATAAAAAGAAAGCTATTTAAATCTTTGTAAAATAGTAATAATAAAGCATTCGTCCAAAAATGAAATAAAATTTATAAGGTGTTACTTTTTACCAAACTGTCTAATACACATACAAAATTCAGTTTTTTAGTATTTGGAGCAATTATTATTAATCAACAAAAACAGTCAATTGATGTAGTTTCAATACTGTGATCATATGAATTGGTCCTCTTTAGCTAAAAATATTTAAACATTTTATTTTATATTTTAATGAAATAAGTGAACTATATCGACAATATTAGTATCTGTACTCTTTGAAAATTTGTTATATCTTTAAAATTAATCTAAAATGTCAATATTCCATGGGTACAGTGATAAATGAGGTCTAAATTATAAGAAAATGTATTTTCTACGAAAACTTGAAGAGATAGGTAAAAAATGGTGTAATACAATTTAATAGGCAATTAAATTGTGCATCTGATTCTCGTAAAATATACAGGGTGTTCCATTTAAATTAAACAGGTTATTGCCGTTTAAAACTAGTAATAATTTAATATAAATTTTTGGTCACTCTGAATAAGGTAGTATTTTGTTTATTATTGCAACACAATATCTGATCAATAAATAAACTTCAGTAAATATTTAGTATTTAAAACTTTGATTCCTTTGGAGAAATGAAGCTTTAAAATTTTTACTGCAATTTCACAAAATTAAAAATATTTCAAAAACAGTAAGGTTTAAATGTGATAAATCTTAATCAAATTTACCTTTATTTTAATTTATTTTAATCGTAGAAACTAAAAATGTAATAATATACAGGGTGTTCCTTTTAAAAAAAAACAAATTTGATATTTTTTATTTATTTCGGACACTGTATCTTGTAAAAAATATTTTTAAATTGTGTAATAGTCCTTCAACGAACCCAAAACTTATAATTTGTAAAACTCTAATCGTTTAGCTACAATACTCCGTATGTGGTGAACAATCTCGTATATTTAAGTTTCAATGCGGGTATAAGGTTTATATTTTATGAAAACTTGTGATATTGAAAATTGGTTATCAGATTTCCATATGTAAAAAGGTACTCTTATAAATTAATTATTGTTGTGTATGTAAATGGTAGTAGGAAGAAATTTCAAATTAATCCCGAACTACTGTGTTACTACAAAAATTATTATTGTTGTATTTTTGCATGTTAACCAATATTAATAAATATCCACAGACGTATTTGTAACAGAGAAATTGCATCGTCAGTACTTAATAACAGATTAATTTAATTTACTAATGGTAAGAAATATCGTTACGTATACAAAATAAATATCCTCGATTAAACTAAATTATTTTAGGTTTATAGAGCTGCAATCCCACAATTCCCATCGATACCCTCAGTTCCACCTGTGAACCAAGCGGATATAATTTTAAAGGCGCTACAAGAAGCTATGAAGGTGCTTCAACAAATGCCGAGACCGGCATAACGCTCGATGAACTGTCAATTTGTCTTTCAACAAATCGATCGATTCAAGATAAACAGAACAATAAAAATATTACTTATGCATTGGTAATTTAAGTTTATTATGTTGTGTTAAATAATACAAATATAAAATTATTTACAGCAATGTAATACTATGAATGTAAAATAAAATATCATTTTAAATACCAAACAAATCTTATGTTTTTTCTATGCCTATTAAAAACGGATTAATATATAGGGTGATTCACGGCCATGGCACGTTAGACGTTTATGGAGAACCGGTGATAGGATTTTTTTGAAAATTTGGATTTTTGCATAAAGGCACCTGCTTTATCTTTCTAAAATACTTTCAGCATAACAGTGTTGCCGAATCATTCGAAAAGTGGTAGCATCTTTCTTATTTTAAATGGAACACCCAGTATATTATTACATTTTTGGAAGCTACTTTCATATCTCATATAATGTTTCTATTATACTAACCTATATCTATCTCTAATATAGTTTTTAGGATAAAAATAAACATGTTTATGAACTTGGAAGTTGGAACATTATTTTTCACAATTAGTTACTCATTTTACTACAGCTGTAATAGATTATATTTAGCTTAGATATATTGTCTTCATTTTAGTAGTATACATAAAAGTTTAATAAGAAATTTTTTTTTTTCGATCATACGGTATATTATTAATATCAACTATTAGATATCACTAAAGAGCGAAAATTAAGAGATATATTTTATAAGTACACATTTTAACTCTTAAGCAGCAGTATTTATAATATCGGAAATTCAAATAATTCGTTTTCTGACAGATGAAAATAAATTGTCTCACTGTTGACACTTTAGCTTACTTCGGGTTTCTCTTATTACCGATTCTGAACCGTCCTAGAACTGTGATGCGTATGCGCAGAAGGAAATATGAAGACATTTTTTCATTTGCGCATGCGCAGCAGAGTTCTAGGACGGTTCAGAATCGGTAATAATAAGAACCCGAACAAAGCTTTTATGTCAAAGGAAGCTTGATAAAATCAAGAAAAATATACGTTTTCAAACTAAATCTTAAATAACTTAAAAACGATTTATTTTAGGGACATGTTTATTTAAAAAGTAACGAATTGAAAAACCTTTTCACTAGTGAAATAAAAAAGTGGGTTTCCATTTAAAAAAAATAATGATTTATGATAATTTTTTAATCGCTCAATTCCATGACAGCTACCGCCATTATTATATGACATTTGAACAATTTAATTTTTGAAATAGATAGCCACATGTCTTCTCAGTCACGGTGGCCGTGGGAATCACTAAATATGATTTTTCGGCTATACAATTTTTTTTGACAGGTTTTTCGTCCAAAAATTTTAAATATATTTTTTTCTCAAAAATGGTTAATATTAGGTATAGGTGAGTGACATCAATATCCATTGAATTTTACAGAGAATTTAAGTATGTAATAAAAAATGGGGGCACCCATTTAAAATAAGAAAGTTGCTGTCAACTTCCAGTATTTCTGGAAGTGCCGCCATATTGAAAATATTTTTAATCGATATTAACAATGATGTTGAAAAAAATCTCCGATCTAGATATTGTGGTTCTCTAGAAACTGTTCGGCAAAAAAAATGCACGCTCAGCCTGGGACACCCAGTATATCGTAAAAAAATCCGGGATATTATAATAAAATTATAGTATATAATAAGAAAATATAATACAATATTATTGTAGGGATTGTATGCTATACAAGAATCCCAAAATTTGTCGTTCATGGACGACATTATGTCAACCGCTATGGACTGGATCTTTAACCTTGTGGGCATCATAATGGATACTTTGGATTCATTTGGTTTAGGAAAATAAGAATAAATAATTGTTAATTAATTACAGTAGAATAAAATTAAATTAAAAAAAAATGCCTTTTAATTATTACTCATTCAAAATAAGCCTAGAAAAATATTACCATAGTTAAAACAAACACCTGCATCAAGAGTTAAACATATATTACTCATATCTTAACCAAAAAAACTCAAATCGCGTCCCAAAATTAAAAGATTGCCTACATAGAAAATGCGTACCAAATATCACAAATATATCTACAATAAAGTAACAGATGTCTTAAACAAATCTGAAAACTTTATAATCCTGTATCTCAAAAGTTAAATCGTTTAAGACATATACGTTCATACGAAGTTTATTTTAATAATAAAATATGAACAATAATAGAATCTTTACCAATCCAAGTATGGAAAACAATTTGGCAACGTTTCAACAATATGGCAACCACTCATAAAACGCTCCAATGCAGGTATACTTAGTGGACAACCTCATGCTTGACTGCACCCAACTAATTCACGGGTGAATGCTAGGGTGTTTCGTTTGCGTTTAATATCTCATGAAGGAGGCCAAAATCGACAAAAAATCAAGATACAACTTTTAATCGGCATTAAACTGCTTACACTATTTCGCTAACAAGAGAAAAAAAGTCAGTGGCCTACATGCTTTTTTAGAAAAAAATATCCCAGTGATAACCCATATGCACGTTCCTGGTAAATATAATAATAATAATAATAATTAATAATAAACTGGACACAGAATTAGAAGAACTAAACAGGTTAACAAGAACAACATGTAACAAGTACCGAATACACCATATACACGCGGCAACAGAAAGATTTACACTAAAAAGAAAAGAAGGAGGAAGGGGATTTATGGATCTAAAGAACATGAACTACAAGCAAATACACACACTCAGAGAATATTTCAGAGAGAAAGCAGTTACCAGCCCACTACACTGAAGCATTGTTAACCTAACAACATCAGGTACACCGTTACAATTCAACAATGAAGCATTCATACCAGCTGATGCAATTACAACAACAAACACTAAAATTGAAAAATGGAAATCCAAAGCCCTACATGGAAAACATGCAAACCAACTAACACAACCACACATTGACATAGCAACATCCAATGCATGGCTTACTCAAGATAACCTGTTTGGAGAAACCGAGGGTTTCATAATAGCAATCCAGGACCAGATCATCGCCACACGTAATTACCAGAAATACATAATCAAAGACCCCAAAACACCTACAGACAAATGCAGACTATGTCACACACAAACCGAAACAATAGAACACATAACCGGGGGATGCCCTATACTTGCTTCCAGACAATATACCCAAAGACACGACGATGTTTGCAGAATAATCCATCAGGAAATAGCAAAGAAATATTCACTCATCTGCTACCATACACCATACTACAAATATCAAGCAGCTAACGTTCTAGAAAATAAGACAGCCAAGCTCTACTGGAACCGGGATATAATCACAGACAAAACCACACCACACAACAAACCAGACATCACGCTCATCCACAAACCAACCAAAACGACATACTTAATAGAGATATCCATACCAAATTCACAAAATGTCAAGAAGAAACACACTGAAAAAATTGAAAAATATATACCTCTAGCAGAAGAAATAAGGCAGATGTGGCACCAGGACATTGTAAAAATTATACCAATAATAGTGTCATCAACAGGACTGATCCCAAGATCATTACATGATAGTCTGAAAGGCCTTGAACTTGCACCAAAACTTTATATACCCATTCAAAAAACAGTTATCCTCCACACATGTAATATTACACGACAAGTCTTAAATACACAGTAAAAAGCGTTGACGCTTGACTTAAGTCCGCGACTACGTTAAATACCGGAAAGCCCGAGATTCAAGAACATAATAATAAAATGTCTTTATTTTAATAATCCTCGGCGAAGTTCAGTAAATAACTGCTTAGTTAACCGAGTACCATTACAGTATAACCTAACAAATAATATCAATATCTAGTACCTTATCTTAAATTAATATATCAAATGTATAAATATAATAACAAAAAAAACAATGAAAAATACAAAAAAATATAAAGCATTAACAAAACTATTAGTGTAACACATAAAGCACACATAGAGAACAATTAATACTTATAAGTACATTATGCAATAACATAAGGCATCAGGCATGTATTGGTGTTGATGAAGAGAGAGCCAAGGAGAGACATAGTTGGCTGGTTTCAAAAAGTATATTCAACTCACATTATGGAATAATAAATCTCTGAACCCCGATCTAAATGAACCGAGGGACTTAGCTATTAAAGCACTTGACAGGGAATTATATAACGAGACCGCAGAATACGTAAATGATCGTCGATATAAAGAGGTCTTATATTGAGGTAGATATAACTGATTAATATTTCGAGTGTCTCTGCTCTGAACAGTTTGGCGCAGTTTTAATTTAGATTTTAAATATAATGGTGTCTGTAATTTAATTAGATTGTGTACAAAGGTAGCCAAATGCAGTCTACGGCGTTCATACATATTAAGCCACTTCGATTCTTTAAGCCAAGGTGAGATATGCTCCCCTCTATCCAGAGAACAAATAAAATGTACACATGAATTTTGAATCTTCTGTATTCTGGAAGAGGAGTGCACATCAAGACAAGGTCCATAGACAATGTCAGCATAGTTGGCATGGCTAAGAACCAAACTGTCACATAGGCTACGTTTCAATGCTTGACTCATAATTTTTTTATTCCTATACAATCCCCTCAATGCTGTATAACTTTTCTGCACAATCGAATTGACATGATTTCGGAATCTCAAATCACAATCTAGAACCAAACCCAAATTCTTGACAGTTTTTAATGGATGGATTATTTCGTTATTCAGTTTAACAGGTAATCCCTTTGCTAAGGGTACCTTACCAAAACAAATCATTTGAGTTTTGCCAAGATTCAACTGAAGACCATGATTCAATGAGTATTTACTTATTTTCTCAAGAGCAGAATTAATATTATTGTAAACAGCTGCTGCATTTTCAGCAGTGTAAGTTGCATATATTTGCGTGTCATCGGCAAATTGATGCAGTTGCAATCCACAACATTATTTTTCAAATCAGCGGTGTAAATAAGGAACAAGAGTGGTCCCAAAATGGAACCCTGAGGTACACCCCTAGAAAGCGGTAAAGCATCCGACTGAGCCTCATCGAGAACTACACACTGGCATCTATTAGACAAATAACTGCCAACCAATTCCACAACATTTTCCGAAAACCCGTAATAATGAAGCTTTGCCAGTAAAAGGTCATGCCCCAAGGTGTCAAATGCCTTAGTATAATCTAATAGAAGCAGACTTGCACCCTTACCTGTATCTAATTCTGTTAATATATCATCCAAAACTTTAGCTAAAACGGCAGAAGTACCATATTTACTCCTGAATCCTGACTGGCAATCAGGGATCAAATTATGTTTAGTTAAATGATTTAAAACTTGACTATATACCAACTTTTTCAATATCTTTGATAAAACTGGCAATTTACTTATAGGTCGAATGTCTTTTAAACTTGTAGGATTGGAAATTTTTGGCAAGGGCATGATCATTGCATTTCTCTAACTAATCGGAAAATAGCTATTATTTAAACAGCAATTGTAAATATGAGCAAGGTAGGGGGCAATATAAGGACAGCACAATTTAACCATTAATAGAGATATACCATCGCAGCCTGCTGCATTGGATATAATGCTAGCAAGGGCATCAAGCAGATCTGCAATATGTCGATACTTTATATATACTATATATATATACTATACTGCAATATGTCGATACTTTTTTGGCTTTAAAATATGTCGCATTTATATTTACTTTTACCCTCAAAATTTCATTCGAAACGCTAAAAGTACTTGGAAGAAAATTATAATAAATCGAAAAAATATTAAGACTTCAACGCCCTGTAGCAACGAACGGGCCCGTATTCTGTAACTTTGAAAACGCTAAGCGCTTTTAGACGCTCAGCGTATATTACGTTAATTTTCGCTGAGCGCGCACTTAACTAACAATTTTGGTATTCTCGTCTGACGCGCATAGCGTCTCTACTGATTGCGCTAAGCGCTTTGAAAACGGTTGCCTTAAAGGATCGTTTTGCTTGTCGAACTGTCAGTGAAAATCGAAAAAATTGTGGTTTTGTGCGTTATCTTGCTCTTTAGTGAAAATTACTACAATTCCTCAATAAGTAATTGATAATTTACGACTTGGCAGCTATAAATATTGTTCAAAACATCGAAAATGCTGAGAAGCGTCTTCAACACTTCCCTCGTATAATAAGAATAATGACATATCCATAGAAAAATAGCTTGACATAACTTAACAATAGGTTGTGAAATTCACGTAACATTGATATTTTTCATTGTTATATCCGTCAGTTATCAACTTTTGACTATTACCTACATTAGAAATTGTGATGTTGCCAATATGTGTTCAACGCGTATCCAGAACACGATTCGCATGGCAACGAGAATACCAAAATCGACTGACTTGCGTTTCGCTGATCGAATACTTGTGCTCACCGCTTTGAAAACGTAACGTTTTGATGTCAAAGTTACAGAATACGGGCCCAGCGGACCTATGTTGATATAAAAAATAAATCTTATTTTTACATGAGGAATCTCTCCACAAGAGATAGCACCTGTTTTTTGAAACACTCTGTATAAGAAGCTCAGTAGTTTTAGGATTTATATTAGTTCACACTTGATAACGGTCGTGATACTTCTGACCGAAACCTTGTGTAAGCAAAATAAATAAAGACAATGGAAGTCCGAAATTCTATTACTTTCAATACTGAATCATTGTCTACCATATTTAAAGTAATACACCGGGTGCATCTCAAAAGTGGCTTGGTTGAAAATAAAATTGGAAAAAAAGAAGTTAGCGGAGTGAATAAATTAAATATTAATAATTAATGACATAAATTACGATTGATTGACGTATTCAATTCTTTTCGGGCACTTTCTGTTTCCCCGGAAATGAGTACAACTTTTGATTTTTAAAATGCACCCTCGGTATTTTTTTACTTTATTCGATAGAAAATAAAACTCTGAATAGAATGACATATCGTAGGTACAACTTTTGACATTTTCGTTTAAAACAACATTGTATTTTAACTTTCAATCTAGAGTGCCATGACATTTTTAAATAAAATAGGAATTAAAGTAGTAATTAATTGGAAAAATAGATTTAATCGTCTGATGTTTTTAGTGTCTTGACCTGGCCAGTCAAAAGATGCCCAAATCGTATTTTTAATCATACCTCAATTTTTTCAAATGGAATGAAGCTGGCTCATTAGCACATTTGGAAAAAGCATTTTATTACGAATTATTTGGCACCACACACTTGGTATTTCGAGTCAAATTGTCATTACAAATCGCATGTTGCAATTTCAAATAAACATATTCGAAAACGTCAAACTTTGGCATATGATATGTCATTTTCTATTGAATAAAGTAAAAAATGCCGAGGATGCTATTTAAAAATCAAAAGTTGTAGTCATTTCCGGTGAAACAGGAAGTGACCGAAAACAATTGAATACGTCAATCAATCCTAATTTATGTCTTATACTAACATACCAAATCTCGATTTTTTACCTAAGAAAATAAAAAAGTTATAGGGGTCAGCCACTTTTGAGACGCACTCGGTATTGACTGTTTAACAAAAAAACTGTTATTTAGAAATAACAGCCTGGCCCACCTCTGCTTTCTGCTTCAATGACATTTCGTCCTTACCTCTTTTTGGCGCGACTTGTTCCGCTCCTACCAGTTGACCGCAAAGACACATTTTCTTGATTTCCAGCAGCGGTTGGGGAAAATCTCTAAGCTGAAAATTCCATTCCTCGCAGCGGAGGTTTATATGCTTGCACCATAAAGTGGAGAATTCCATACCTTCCTCCGGCCATGGACTGTCTGGATCCATTTCCTGCATTTTATCGAGCGGTTGTAACAGGAAATCGCTCATAACCTGATAAAAACATAATTATACAGCGACTCTCCGGAAATTATTCGAAACGAAAAAAGCTTCATAATCGTGTTTCTGGGGTCGAAATATACTACCCCTAAAAATATTTGCACTTATTCAAGACTCACCCTGTATTTCAAGATATTTGAGATAGATGCTACAAGATGTTCTAAATATATTTATAAATTTTGACTATTTAAAATACAAAAGTTTTAAAATTTTTAAATAGTACACCCTCTATATTATTATTTTTTCTGACAGATTTTTTCAAATCTCTTTAACTTTTGTTAAGTATGTCATATACCTATTTTTAATAGTTTGCGATTTATTCCGATTTTTGCTATTTTACCCATATTTTTACATATTACGCTATAACGTCATAAGCTTTATTCGGGTTCGTTTTTGAGAACTGTCCTAGAATCGTTCTGAGAATGCGCAGAACTACATGCGCAGTGGTTAAATTCAAGAACCGTTCTCGGACTTTTTTAGGTTTTCGAACTATAAAACCCGAACGCTAACCTTATCTCTGACAAATTTTGACATCGCATAAATATTTAGTTGGAGTCTTTGATGAGGTGTAAAAACCTACTATTCTAAAACGATTCTTGCTTCAAAGAGGAGATCGATTAGAACTGTTTTTGTCTAGTTCTAGAACTTTCTGCGTTATACCCGAACACCAAATTTTTTAGTCCAAAAACAGTTATTTCCTACTGCGCATGCGCATCACCTTTCTAGAACGGTTCAGAATCGATTCTAAAAAACGCGAAGTTCTCTATAGTTGCCATGACAAAAAGTAATAATTATCAAACTCTGACATGTCTCTTCAGCAAATTATGAATAAAAATTTAATTTTAGTTTAATTTGTTGTAATAAGTGTAGGTGGTAGAGATAATAGTTGCAGATTTTCCTGAAAATGAATTATTAATTGCAAAACCTCTAACGAGGGGTAGAGGACCTCACAACCTTTTCAAATGTTTATTTCAAAAAATAATTTTGTTTAAAAATGGGCCAACATGTTTCGGGAATCAGTTACTTCCCATCATCAGGCCCAGAAAGACAAAAGTCACGCCAAAAAGATAATTAGATTGTAAAAACTGTACTCGTTGTAATTGCAATTAATCCACTTTTATTTTTTCCCCTTTTATTCATCAATAAAAGCTTATACAATAGTTTTCAACACAGTGAGATGAAACGCCTATTTAAAAATAAACATATTTCTTTAAATTCAAAACATTCATTTTTAAGACTCATTTTTACCTCAAGGCAAGAATTTTGTATTTAGTAATAAATAATTATTATATTACACATTATATTATAAATCAAAATTTAAATTAAAATTATATTTTACGATTGTTGATACAAAAACAGCACGCCACTTTTAGATCGAAAAGACGAAAATGCACACGAAATTCTACAGCGTTGTCATAGTTATGCACCCATCTCTTTTTAACTTATACATATAAAAGTGTTAAGTATGTGCGATTGTAAACAGATAGTGTTTTATGAATGGAGTGTTGTGTCTACCCTTCAGTTAGATGTCTTTGGTTTTAATACCCTATTCTCTCACCATTAGTTCCACATCAGCCATACTCCAAGCAAAAAGCCGAGTGCGCTGCGGAGCTGCCTTATACATAAGCTTGGACCTCTGCACGTAAATATCTGAATTTTTTATTTTTAAATTCGCCCACAGTTCATCTACTTTTCCAGCGGGCATATGAATATAAGTTTTCAGTAGTTGGGTAATCTAAAAATGAAACGTTAACAATTAGAATATTTTATTTAATACATAACAAAGGCACTTACTTTTTCTTTTAACATTTTTTGCCTTTTTAGACTCTCACTATATTCGTCCACTAATAACTCAAAATTGTCCCTAAGTTTAACCTCAAAAGGATCATCACTCATTTCAAATAAAAACTCTTTTATCTAAAATTAAAACACAAATTTCATAATAGTAGCCCAAGAGAAAAACTATTTATGCGTCTATTTCTTTTGGTTAGTTATAATGTATCATGAAATTTCTTCTTTTTTCTATTTCATGAAACATTCATGAAATAGATATCCACTTCGCGAACTGGTTAGGTTTCAGTTCGCGAAGTGGATATCCATTTCATGAAACGGACAATTCCACTAAGTGGGTGCGACATATATATTATATCTTTATATAATTTAATTGATTTATTTAATGCATAGCACTTACATTTATTAGCCAATCTTTTGAACCTGTAGAAGAAGGCTCAGGCTCAGTATCATTCTTCTTAGTATTCGCATGTACTATTTTTAGCCATCTTATAATTGATAAAAATTGGTTTTGTATTGCTTCAGCATAATTATGTTCATGAGGAAACATTATCTAAAAATTGTGAAAATGAGTATACCTGGTTTGGTAGTAAACACAAATATGAGTACAGGGTGGTCGGAATTGGTCTGTTTTAACAGAGAAAACCTATTTCCTGTCTAGATAGAGAAAAACCGACATAGATGTCATGGGCTCGATTTCTGAGACACTTTTAATGGCATAAACCGTCTGGTGATATTTTCACTGCCAACTGAGATCCGTGGTCTTTTTGATTTTTTTACCATTTTGAAAATTGCCCATAACTTTTTTAATTCGCGGAATAATAAAATTCTGAAAAGACGTTCTTAAGGCACTTTTTTAAGCACAATCCAGTGGCGTAGTGAGTTTTTTTCTATGCTTGCTCTTTTTGTCAGAAATAATAAAAAATATAATTTTTTAAAAGGAAATCATAGTTGGCTATGAAGTTAAAAAAATGCTGACGTTTAACCATTTCGAACGATATGAAGTTATGGGTATCTATTTCTAAGAATGAGAGAAATATTAGGTTTTTCATCTTTGTATCGAAGTGTGCCTTGATTTTGTGTTGACCTAGTTGTCTAATTACTTTTGTCGCAATTTAATATTCTATATTATTATTTATCTTCATAATTAGAGACTTTTGAAAAGGTAAATTAACATTCTATATTAGTTTTTGTAATTACAATTGAAATCGATACAATAAACAAAGAACAAAGCTAAAAAACGTATTTTTTGAGTGACGAATAAAGATGTTCAAACTGAGCACCTCCTTGTTGAATACATAATAAACATCTTTTGCGCACAGAGTTACAGCGATTTATTAGGCGAACTGGTGTAATAAATCCAAAAGCTTGCCTAGTAGACTTCTGCAATTGTTCTCTCGTCCCAATGGTTCTTCCCTTATATATAAGGTCTTTTAATTTTCCCTCATAAAAAATCGAAAGAAGTTAAATCACAGGACCTAACAGGCCAAGATATGGGGTCCCTTGTTCCAATCCGATTCTCTCTAAATTCTCCATTTAATGGCGTTTTAATTGTAATTGGTAAAACTAACATAGAATGTTGATTTACCTTTTCAAAAGTCTTTAATTTTGCAGATAAATAATAATATAAAATATTAAATTGCGATAAAAAATAATTAGGCAACTAGGTCAACACAAAATCAAGGCCTTTACAGAATTTTATTATTCCGCGAATTCAAAAAGTTATGGGCAATTTTCAAAATGATAAAAAAATCAAAAAGACCCCGTATCTCAGTTGGCAATGAAAATATTAACAGGCGGTTTGTGCCATTAAACCTGTCTCAGAAATCGAGCCCATGACATCTACGTCGGTTTTGCTCTATCTAGTCAGGAAATATGTTTTCCTTGTTAAAACAGACCAATTTCGACCACCCTGTACAGGGTGGGTCAAATTCGACGCTTTTAAATGGAAACACCCTTTTCTATAGGAGATAGACGAAAACTAATATCGGTGTCTGGAGCTCAATTTTCATCAAAAACATGATGGTGAAAACCGCACATCAATATCTGTTACCGTTTCGGAGTTACGGGGTGTTTTTCAAAAATGTGCATTTTAACAAATCGCTCTAACATTTTGCTGTGGAAAATTTTGTATTTCTATGAAAACATTCCCAAAGCACCTTTTACGTAGAATTTAATGGTTTAAGTATATTTTTTTAAATTAATAATTTAAGAGTTATCAACAGAAAAATTGATTTTTATTTGGGACACCCTCTATATTTTTAATTAACTGAAAAGAATTTAAAATTACCTTTCCAAAAATATAGCACACTTGATATTTTGTTATAATCCCCTTCGAAATACAGAATTTTTAAAAGTTCGCCACTTTTAACTAGTAGGCTTTGGACCCCTTATTGATGATATACCCTTAATGGAACCCGAAAACATATTTTTCCAGCAAGACGACGCACCGCCTCTGAACACTGAAGTTATCAGCAAATTTTTGCAGCCAATTTCAAGAATAATTGAATAGCTAACCAAGATCCCAGCCGTTGGCCGTCGAGGCCGCCTGACTTAGTGCCCATGGATCTAATCATATCATATGGATATATTTGCGGAAGAATAAAGGTTCCTTATTCTTCCGTATAATCTAGACAAGAATTATAAATACTTAGCAATTATGAAAGGGCGTCTTTCACCCCCACTGAGTTAATGAATTCCGCGAGAAATGTTTAAAAACTGCCCCGTCTGTCTATAACAAAAGACGGTCGATATGTCGAACACCTGTAGCAAAATCTCATGTCTTGGTTTGCTATTTATTTTTATTGTTATTAGATATAGTTTAAATGTGTTGATGTTGGTTAAATATATTTTAAATTGTTATAAAATTCTGCATCTCTCATAGCAAATATTATTTTCGTTTTAATTGATGCTCACAGCTAGAATTTTTTTGCATTACAGCCAGTGCAAAGCCTACTTATTTACAGCGGGCGAATTTTTATATACTCTATATCTCGAAGAGGAATCAAGAAAAATATCAAGTGTGATATTTTTGGAAAGGTAATTTTAAATTCATTTCAATAAATTAAAAATATACAGGGTGTCCCATATAAAAAATAAAATTTTCTGTTGATAATTCTTAAATTATTAATTTTAAAAAAATTATACTTAAACCATTGAATTCTACGTAAAAAGGTGCTTTGGAAATGTTTTCATAAAAATACAAAATTCTCCATAGCAAAAAAGTTACAGCGATTTGTTAAAAATGCACATTTTTGAAAAACACCCCGTAACTCCGAAACGGTAGCAGATATCGATATGCGGTTTTCACCATCATATTTTTGACAAAAATTGAGCTTCAGACACCGATATTAGTTTTTGTCTATCTCCTATAGAAAAGGGTGTTTCCATTTAAAAGCGTCGAATTTGACCCACCCTGTACATAACACACAAAAAAAAAATAGCTTTCGTATATACTATTTATAATGAATTAATTAATATATATTTATTTATTAGAATTATATATAGATTGTTACTTCAGAAATTATTTGGAAAAAATCGAAATAAAAATGAAACTTCTACACCCTGTATCTCCGAAACTAAGCATTTTAGGACATACATTTATAAGAACTTTTTTACTTATTTTTATCTGCAGAATATGCTGCGGATGTTTCCGGGATACAGTTCGGATCACCCTGTATATATACCATTAATCATATGTGCAGAGAATGGAACCACAAAATCTTTATATATTCATAAAAAAAGTATATTTTACCGCTGGGCACCCCTCCCAGTCATACATTCTACAACCCATTTTTTGAAACAGTTTTTAAAAATCTAGGAATATAACTACTATTTTCTATCATAAATACGTATTTTGTAATATGTACAATATAATAATAAACATGTCATATACATGTATAATAATAAACATGTCGTTCCAAAATGGTATTTTTCCAAAATGTCTTAAGACGGCAATAATCATTCCACTGCACAAAGGAGGAGACAAAGATGAAGCTTCTAACAATCGCCCAATTGCACTCCTTCCAACGCTATCTAAGATCATAGAAAGGTTGGTTAAAAGCAGGCTGGTATCTTTTCTGTTTAAGTACAAAATACTTACTGAATATCAATTTGGATTTCTAAGCAACAATCCACAAATGACACTATGTTTTCCCTCCTTAATAAAGTTTACTCCAGCCTAAACAACCATCATTCTACAGCAACAATTTTCTGTGATTTTTCTAAGGCGTTCGATTGTGTAAATCATAAGATCTTAATTAATAAACTGCAGCACTATGGGTTCAGGGGATCATCTCTCGAATGGTTTAAGTCATATCTGAGCAACAGAAGTCAACTTGTGAGGGTGGATACCACGTTGTCTTCTAGCAAGCCAATAGAATGTGGAGTACCACAAGGCTCAGTACTAAGCCCTATTTTGTTTCTTCTTTTTATTAACGACATTGCTAACATAAACATCAGTGGCAAAATATGTCTTTTTGCGGATGACACTAGCATCAGTTGGAGCAACAAGGACATCACGGCACTTCATAGGATTATATCAAATGACTTAATCACCATTAAATCTTGGTGCAATTCGAACCTCCTAAGTTTCAACATTTCTAAAACTAAAGCTTTGTCGTATAAAAACTCGTTGCAGCTTTTTGTACTTAACAACACCACCATTGACGTCGTCAAATCTGTAAAATTCTTAGGGCTTGTTGTGGACAATTCTCTGAAATGGGACATACATATGGAAGCTTTGTCGGAAAAATTGAGCTCTGCCTGTTTTGCATTAAGGTCTGTTTCTAAGGAGCTTAACTTGTCAGTGGCTAAAACTGTTTATTATGCACTTTTTGAGTCGCACCTCAGGTATGCCCTTCCATTCTGGGGTATGTGTTGTGCGACTCAATTTGACCGCATTTTCAGGCTCCAGAAGAGAGCTGTTCGATATTCACTGGGATTATACAGCAGAACTCATTGCCGGGACTTTTTAAAAAAATAAAAATATTGACTCTTCCTTCCTTATTTATATTTGAATCCGTTTGCCTAATACGTAAACATGTATCAGCTTCTCAAGAAAGGCCATCTCACACTTATCCACTCAGGAACGTGGAGCAAGATCATACCTACTATCATATCTACCTACCACACGCTCAGAGTTAGTTAAAAGTTCAATATTATACAACTCGAAAAAAATGCACAATCACCTGCCATTTGAAATCAAATCCATAACATCATTTTTTTCATTTCGCAAAGCATTGAACTCTTATTTACTAGACAAGGCTTTCTACGCCGTAAATGAATTATATTTGAATTGAAAATCGAATTTGATCTTGAAAACACTGGTCTAATGTTTGCTATTGCTATATTTACTAATGACATCGAAATTAATTTATTTAGAGGTCATTGATATTTTGCTATAAACTGGCTAAATATTTTTGAATATTATTTTTTTTGTTCTTTGACATTGTAAACATTTATATATGTTTATTTTAACAATAAGACTGACAATATTATTTGTATAATGTTTTGTATTATCTTTTGTTTGTTTGTTTGTGTACCTTGTTTTTACTTTGTTTGTTAGTTTACCTTTGTCCACAAATTGAAAAATTTTTTGACAATAAAGGCATTTATTTATTTATTTATTTATTTATTATTTATGTACTCTTTATAACATTTGGCAAACATACCTTAAATAGTGTAATTTCTACTAAGTATGTAAAATAGTTGTAGGGTAAAGGACAGCCGGCTTCAGCCCGTTCAGCGATCAATTTTTCTGCACCAGCCTGATCTTGCAATAATCTCCTTATATTAACTCCCTTGATTTCAAACACGTCCGACTCATCTATTGCGATAGTCATAGTAGTAATTGTATGATTGATATCAAATTTGTCTGGGTGCGCATGAGATTGATGGCGCAACGATACGTCATCTGAAATACAAGAAAATAACGGTGATTATTAATAAATAATAAAGACGTTATTCGTTTTAATTCAGGACAAACTGTTTAAGAATATAATAATAAACAGATCAGTAGACATATTATAGTCATAGGGATGCCATCAATGCCATTCATAGACCCAGAACTCTGCGGCGTTGCAAAAGTAGTTACAAGAATGGTCACAAAATAGTGAGTGATTTCTAGAATGGTCTTCGCCAGGGCAGAGACAGACGAAAAAGTGCATAGTAGAATATTCGCTAAAATTTACAACAGACCTGATAAACAAAGACAGGAAAACTCTCAACACTGTACTGGGTCTACTACAATACACACGAGACACAACTCTCAATTAACGTTCAGAGAATTCTGACAAATATCAAATAAACGTGGCACCGCTGCAACCGTTTCCTTGGCGTTACCAACACAATATCGAGAGGGAAATTTAAAACTCATTGAAAACACTTCCCATTAGGGCTATATTGTAATCGCAAAACATTTTCCGATGAAAGTCATCAATCATATCGACATTGACATTAAACTGTATAAACCTGACTAAATGAAATTTTGGCAAAAATGTTTAAATTTGTTGTATAATTTAAGATACCGAGCAGCTCATTATTTTAGTTTATAGAGCAAATAATTGTAACAGATATTTTATTTAGATTAAAGCTGCAAAAATTAGTTTAAACCGAATTTTATTATCGTTATGTTGGTCACATTGCGCCGTGTGTTTGTTTGTTTGTATTGCATTTCTTGAAATTTTGTGTTGAAATATGCCGAAGCATTTAAACAGTCGAAGGAAAGAGCTTGTAGCTTCCCTGATAAACAATTTGAACGAGAACGTTACAATAAAGGTCCTTTATTACCCTTGACTGCAGTCAGAGAAGTAAGTTTGATTGATAAGCGCATTATACCACTCCCAAAGTTAGTTTTTATTAATATCTGTGATTATTAGTTTGTGCATTAATAGCACCCTTTTACTTGTTATTACTACTTATGGCGTTGTAAGATGTACATCAATAAATAAATAACCCAATAATAACGCTTAGAATAATCTTCATAATGGACGAGTTTTTGCTAATATGTAATAAGTAAAATAAGCTATAAAACAAATAAATCAATTAATTACTAAAATATTAGTTATTGAACTAAAAATAAAACATAAAACTCTTTAAAAATGATATAATAAATATATTGTTTGTCAATTTTAAATCAAGATTCATCTCATAAATCCATCACAATCTGGCAGCGCTGTCACTCAAAGTTGATCACGTGCATCGGAAATTGTTTTGCGATTACCATATTTGCGTAGTGGCAGCACTGCACACGTTTATTAGCCTAAACGATAGTGTACAACGATTTTTATTTTGTACACGTCCCTTTAATAATAAGTTATGAGAAAATTAACATGAACACAAGCAAAGAAAAAAATATGGCTGTACTTAAACTGCCGTCAAACGGTAGCTTACTAAAATGCCGTTAATAGGTAAGACGTATGACGTCGTTGATGTGACGCACTTGACGGCTTTATGAAATATAGGAATTTTATAAGGACTAACCAACGCTATCCACCCCACCAAATAACACACTTAACCAACACAACTAACATCGACACTGATAAAAAAATATAAAAAACAAATATAAATTAGTAAAAACCAACCAACCCCACCAAATAACCAACTAACCAATGAATTAACACCCTCCAAATAACCACGCTAACCAACCCGCCAAATAACTAAACCAATCCAACCAAAAAGAGTGAAACAAATGGAATAAGATCACGCTATAAGCAAAAAAATATATAAAAAAGTCTTGGTCGGTGTGAGATTTGAACCACGGACCATTCGCTCACGAAGCGATAGCCTCAGCCACGGAGCTACAGGCGCTCTTGCAAAATGCTTATCGCTAGGCATTACTTTCCGCCGACATGAACGACGTCACAATATCTATTAACAGCATTTTAGTAGGCTACCGTTTAACGGCTGTTTAAGTACATCGAAAAAATATAGGTGACTTAAAATTCATATCAAACAACATAAAACAAATATCTATTAAAATATAACTAATACATTGAACAACATGATACTAAATAATAAAATAACATATTTATACTTCAATAATTTGCTAATAAACGTTATAGAAACTTCAAAAGCGAAAAGCAAGAACAATAAGAAATAGCCATCACTACATATTTAGTCGAGTTTGACATCAATTGCTAGAAAGTATCAACTAGATCTTGAGTTAATAAATATCGTTGAGGAGCATTTATATAATATTAATAACATTTAATAACAGTTGTCTGTCATATATTCTCTCGCGGATCAGACCATAGGTTATAAACATATTAGATATATTTCTTACCCAATACGATTTTCGCAGAATGCTCTTTGCTTATATCAACATAAAACTCTAATTTCCCAAAAATCTTACAGGTTACAATACTTAACGGTAAACTTGCAGGATTTACATTCGACCGTGACATTTTAGGAAGTAGCTGAACAAACTGTGCACAAAAACGCTTAACATCTCTGAAAATAATATTAAATAAGTACTATGTGTTTTAGTTTATATCAAAAACAGGATTTTACTCGAATAGAAGGAACATATTTATGTGAAAATTCGTGGACCAATAAACTATGTTATCTTCCGAAAAAGCAAAATTATATTCAAAGGAATCTTCATTTTTGGTGTAATATAGGAGTGCCATTTTCACAAATACTTTGTAATTTAAAATATCCTCTGTCCTTATACACGTGTAATAATCGCCATTGTTAGTCAACGTGAAAAGTTTGAACTCCTCAAATTTAAAGGTATTCATGAGGGGGCTGGTTTCAATTGTAATACCATCCAGTCTTGATACAAAATACTCTGCAAATTAAATAAACAAAATTGATGACGGTTTTATTTAACAACATGCTTTATACTAATACCGGGTTATATTTTATTATTTTGTTATTATATAAAAACGTCGAAAGAAATGCTTTTTTTTATTACTGAGTTATTGAAAAAACTTATAATGCAAAAAAAAACTTCCACTGGAATGACAGTTGTCATGTGACAACTGTCATTCTAGTTCCAGTGGCAAGTTACAATAATCTTTACTATCTTTATATACGTAAAAAAGTGGTTTTAGGTAATAAAATATCGAGACACTTCAAAGAAAAAAGTTTTCAGAATTTTATTCTACGTCTATACAGGGTGAGTCTTAAATAAGTGCAAATATTTTCAGGGCTGGTAGATCTCGATAAAAGAAACATATTCTCTCTTTGCCATTTTTCAGATAAGTCCAAAATAACCGAGTTATTTAAGTTTGAAAATTAAAAAAAAATGATTTTTTTTTAGAAAAAATTTGAGAGCCACCGGATTTTTTCTGTATTTGCATCCCTTTTAGTGCCTATGGTAATATCAGAGATTAAGAAATTATATCGTGGGAAAATTTGCGCTGAACAGGCAGTTCCAAAAAGTTTTCGAAAAATATACAAGGATATTTAAAAAAAATGCACGATTTTGAACATCTTTTTTTTGCGAAAAAAAAAAACTCATAGACGTGTTCCTGGGGTCGAAATATACCATCCCTGAAAATATTTGCATTTATTTCAGACTCACCCTGTATATAAGTTTCATAAACATACAGGGTGATCTAATAACTACGGAAGCAAATTCTGCAGATAAAAATAAGTAAAAAAGTTAGTAGAAATTAATGTCCTAAAATGCTTCGTTTCGGAGATCAGGGTCTAGAAGTTTCACATTTTTTTGGGTTTTTTCCAAATAATTTCATAGCTAACGTCGATATTTGAATAAAAATTGGAATTTGGGTGTTTTGTGATATGAGAAATTTGATTTCGATGTCAATATGACTACATGTTTTTTAGCTGATTTGAAGAGCAATAACTTTTTGTCTGTCCCTGTATAAAACTACTGAGTGAAAAAATATACACACACCGAGAGACTTTTTTTAAGTAAAAAATTATGAAAATGAATCTTTTTTTCACACAGTAGTGCACAGTGGTTCCCAGATAGGTCATTACTTAGAAATATTAATTTCAAAATGTTTGCATGAAACTGTTGCTAATCCTTTTCATATATTCCCCTGTAAACGATACATAATAAATAACAAAATCAAGTAAGCCTAGTGTAGCGCTTTTTTCTATTAGAAATGTCACATTTTTGCTACTGGTATTAAGCTGACATAAACAGTTTTCAGATAACGCCAATTAATTACTTATTTCATTAAAATTGATAAAAGCTGTTGCCTTTTCTGTAATGGACGTTCGAAAAGAAGGTAAAAAGAACTGTTTTTTCTTTTTTGCACTTAATTAAACCTAAGTAATATTAGTTATGGCAATTTATTTGAAGGTAACAAAAATAGTATTTTCACATTTTTGCTTGTCACTCTCTAAAACTTTTAATTACTTTCCCTTTCAAATCCTCTTAACGGCATGAAAATACTTGTTGCCTAAAGTATATTGCATATAAATTAATTGCCACTGGCTGCCGCGAATTGCCGCCGGATCTTATACCGGGTGGTTAAAGATTGACTTTTTGTCTTAGAATAAAAGTAACTTATTTTTTCCTCTTCGTGTCAACTTATTTCGTGGACACACTGTATATCAATTGACAATAAAATTGTATTTATAAAATGAAACAACTGTCTCTTTTATTTTTTCAACATTTAAAATAAATTTGACCTCTTCAATATGAAAAAACATGTACATATGTGCAAACATAATCTGTATACCTTTCCGAATAGTTAGAACTTAAAATGCAAATCACACGAACTGGGTCCAATTTTTTTAATACATATTACATTAAGTTTTTTATATACATTTATTTAGCATTTGTTATCAATTTCTATTAAAAAAGGTGCAGTGAAGCTATATCTAGATATTAATAACAGTTATGACCGCGCAGCTAATTAAGGGGAACCACTGTGTAGTGTAGTACAGGTACGGACGAAAAGTTATTACTCTTCAAAGCAGCTTAAAAATATGTCGGTGGCGCCCCAGGCTGCTACAAGGAGTCATACTGACATCGAAATCGAATTTCTCATGTCACTCTCGCGTCACAACACCCAAACACCAATTTTGATCCAAATATCGGCGTTAGCTATGAAATTATTTGGAAAAAATCGAAATAAAAATGAAACTACACCCTGTATCTCCGAAAGGAAACATTTTAGTATATACGAACTGCCTAATTGAAACGGATATACTGCCGAAGTTTCCAGAATACAATTTGGACCACCCTGTAGAGAGACTTTCATAGTTTTTCAAAAATTGTTCAGTTAAAATTTTAAAAAATCAAAATTTTCTTCGTCAATATTACATAAAAATCGGAAAAAATTCCTAATACAATATTTTTGTTCTTTACTGTAAAATGTAAATTTTAATAACTTTTAATACCTCACAGCTATACCATCATAGTTGTGATTGCCTAAACAAATAAAAATTCCATAAAGGTATTCTATATTTTTTTGCGACTCGTGATGGCGAATTTTACTGTATCTTTTACTATCCCTGCATAATAATTCAGTTAAAGCTTGTTCAACGAGGGAATACCTGACAGTGACAGTTGTTGTCATTTTAATTCACAAGTAAATTGTATCTTCTGTCATTTTTTAGATGTCGTCTGTCAAAATGTTCCCTGGCTCGTTGGACAGACTTTAAATCACTTTTGTTTCATTTAGCGATCCAAAACTTACATAAAACACTGCCAAAATTTAACTAACACTGCGTTTTTTCAACAAATGAAAAATTAATTATGAATATGCTTACCATTCTTTTGGGACTGTAAGAAGCAGTTAAAATGTGTAATTACCAAACATGTACTCAATTTCATACTTTTTTCACTATCAGCTTCTTTATTGTTTAATAATGTTTTTAAATTAAATCCAAATTGTAGAATGCATCTACAATTAAATACTAATTAATGATAATTTTAAAAAATTGGGCTATTAGAATGATTAATTATTAGTAACTTAAATATGGAGACATTATACAAAGGGTGAAAAAAGTTTATGCGGTCTTATAAAAAGTCCTATAGGTATTTCGCCACTACAAAAACCAGTGACGTTCTGTTAAAATAATAATACATCAACGGTTTTTGTAGACGTATATGTTTTAAAAAACTAAAGTTTTCTCGAATAGTGGCATTTAGATATTTAAAATAGTTTTTTTCTTTGTTCTTTGCATTTTTTGCTTCCGACGACGGAAAGAGATATACTTTCCGAAACGTTAAGCATTTTTTTGTCCGTTAAGCTTCATTCAGAACCTCGCAATTAGTGGAATAAATTAGTGGTTTCAATTACACTTTATATTTGTTAGTTTACGATCATTCACAATGTCTAAAAAACACTAAAAAACACAATTAAAATTAATAAAATATCCTAGCAACAGCTTGCGGTAGTCTGTTGTATTCATATAGAAAGCATAATATTTAGCTTATAAAACAATAAACTTTTGATTTCTAACCAAAATTTTTCTTGACAGATGATAATCAAAGGCCAAAATGACATTCTTGGCAAATTTTGAAGAATAATTAGTGGAAAAGTCAAAAGTTTGTTATTTTTTTCGATTAATTGAAAATTACTACCACTAATTATGCCGTTCTGAATGCTTACATTAAAAATAGGTGAATAAACTTCTACGCTAATTGAAGCCACTAATTTATTCCATTAATTGCCAAGTTCTGAATGAACCTTTACAAGTTACTTGTCATGTTACACGAGGCTTTATCGTTATTGTGGAACGAAAAAGGTGGTCAAAATTTACAGCTGTCTTTGTGTTTTGCACGTTTTATTGCTGTTATGGTCTTATTCTCGATATCTCCACTTCCGTAATACTTGTGATTTATGCATGATTTAAGAAAATGTATTTCAAATATTAAATAGATTTAAAAAGTGCTTTATTTTGAGTAGAAAATTTTTTCGTGACGTAGAATATTGCTTTTATTATATCTTTTCTTTTATGTTAGTTTTATTAGAGGTTTTATTCCAAAACTATAAAAGTTATTACATCTACATCTACAAAGAAACTAAATAATACTATATATTTTTAGTAGCTGAAGCATAAAAATAAATAGAATCTCTAAGAAAAGAAAGAAATATTTTAAATGGCTTAAATTTATATGATGTATTTCTTTATTTGACGGTAGCATATACAGAGTCAAAAAATTGTGTATTTAACTTCGGCGAGTGATTCTACAGATAAAAATAAAACAAAAAGTTCCTATGAACTAAAATGCTTCCTTAAGAAGTTGCAACCCTCGAAAGGGCAAATAAAAATAATAAATTATTTAATTCTAAACGACCTTTCTCTTTGAACCTCACTTTTAGTTCTCTAAGTTAAATAAACTTTAGTAACCCTTTTTCGTATATGAAAATAATTAAAAAAGGATTCATAACTTCCAGCATGTTTTTAAGTTACTCCCAATAAATCACTTCTAATGCCCATACTATTTAAAATTACTTTAAAGCTAATAATATATAATCTGCTAATTCCAAAGACCATTCCAATTGTACCGTATCAAGAATGGAACATAATTTTAGATCTTGGTTCTCAAAAGTGCAAAATTTTATTAATCCCATTCCTAAATAGAGAGGAGTTCCCCATAAATGCATAACCTAAAAATTGTGTATCATAAATCATTTAGTTTATAAATACTTTCTTATTGTGTGAAGACTGCAATGCAATTTTTCTAAAACATACCTTAGAAATATTAGTATCGTGATTCCATTCCTTAAAAGACCACCACAAAGATTCTATTAACAGTTCTAGTTGCCAATGTCTATCAGAAAACAAAAGGTTTGCTAGATATGATTTATATTGTGTATCTAAAACATAAAATAATAGATTAACTCTAAAATTTAGTTCCTGAATTATAAAAAATATATTTTATTATAAACTGAAAGAATACAGTTGTTGTCTGTCATTTCAATTCACAGGAAAAGTTTGTTTTCAGTTAAACTTTGCCTGTCAAAATTTTCCCCGATTTGACTTTGTACAGGGTGAGTCAACGACAGAGTAAAGTCGATTATCTCATTTGTTGGGAGATTTACAAAAAATGTTAAATATAGAAGTTGTAGGGAAGGTTAAGATACACATTTTAAAATTATTATAGATTATACAAGGTGCTTCAAAAAAGTGTAACGGATATAACATATGTTTTTTTTTTAAATGTAAACTTTTATTAAGTATATGGTATACTTAATAAAAGTTAACGAATTTTGTAAAATCTATCAGAAAAAACGATAATATACCGGGTGCGTCTCAAAAGTGGCTCACCCCTATAACTTTTTCATTTTTTCAGTTAAAAAAACGAGATTTGGTATGTTAGTATATGACATAAATTAGGATTGATTGACGTATTCAATTGTTTTCGGTCACTTCCTGTTTCACCGGAAATTACTACAACTTTTAATTTTTAGATGTCACCCTCGTTATTTTTTTACTTTATTCGATAGAAAATAACATTCAGAATAGAATGACATATCATATGTCAACTTTTGACATTTTTGCATATGGTTTATTTGAAATTATAACTTGCGGTATGCATATTTCTTGAGTTGACCTCTTAGTCGGGGAGTTATGGCGGGTTAAAGTTATGGTTTCCTTAATTTACCAAATCTGTACAAAAATTTCATACAATGAAATTTATTATTTTCAGAAGTTTCCTTGTGTTGTTCAATTCCAACAATTTTTTCCGTAAAGAGAGGTCTTTTACCAACAACAAACCTGAACCATATATATCACCATATATTTATTATTATATATATCACCATATATAAGATATATCACCATATTATGTTATTTTGGAATAATATATACCCCACATAAATTATCGCATCACTTATTAATTTGGAAAACTGCAAAGTATTCTTAAATTCTCTTGGTTAACAATAATCTCAAAAGCTATTTGCATTAATAGCAACTTGTTAAGGAATGGAAAGTATAAGTATCATAACTCCGGCAAACCTTAGATTTAAGTTTTTCACATGTTTGGCATAATTTGGCATAACTAGGAGTCATGTTTGAAGCGCTTCAAGAATAAATACTACGAAAAATATAAGTGTTGCGAAATTTTTTGTGAGGTGTGTATTATGGTTTCCTTTGTTGAAGTTGAATACGTTTTTTTCGCATATTATCATATTATTTAATACTGTTAAATGATATTTGCCACTTGTGTCGTTCTCTTTGAGTTTTGCAGTCTTATCTAATTTATCCCTGATTATTTGAATATTTAGGAATGTTGATTGAGTTTTGACATATTAGCCGGAGATAAATGATTGTTCGACAGTAATTTGATAACGTTTTTGGTCCATAAGAGCTATAAACTCTTAGTAAATAAAAAAATATACCTGTAAAGTCCTTTTATAAAACTTCGTATTTTTTTTGACCTTCCATTACGCCTTTTTTTACTCTTTTCGCCCTGTAGCAAAAATTCCTAGTCGTATTATTTAATTTCTGTCAAAAAATGTCAGCAAGAATAGTGATAACTGAAGAAAAATTCCAATGTCTCACTATTTTAGTTTTCGTTACACTGTGCGCCGGCGCCGTGGCACCCTGGATTGAAATTTATAATACGATTTGTTTTAAGCGACAATGTCAAAAGTTGACATATGATATGTCATTCTATTCAGAGTGTCATTTTCTATCGAATAGAGTAGCAATATACCGAGGGTGCCATTTAAATATCAAAAGTTTTAGTAATTTCCGGTGAAACAGGAAATGACCGAAAACAATTGAATGCGTCAGTCAATCCTAATTTGTCATATACTAACATACAAATCTGTTTTTTTTTATCTGAAAAAATAATAAAAAGTCATAGAGGTGACTTTGAGACGCACCCGCTATATTAAAAAATATTGTTTCATAATGTAATATCGTTTTAAAGTTCTTGTATGTTATTTTAGATTCTGAAGATAGTTTTAGGATAAACTGAAATATATTTTTAATAAAAACATGATTAATTTTTTAACCGATGCCTAATATAATTTATCTTGTATAATAACAGGGTTATAATTATGATTTTGTTACAAAAACTTTTATATAAATGATTATGTAATAGAAAAAATTCAGATTTTATATTTTACTAAAATATTATCTAAATAAGCGCCTTTCTACAACAACGCCACTGACTCCCAATTGGTAAATTAAGAGTTGCCTACCGGTCGAAAGTCGTTTCGAGACTCAAATGGATCATTTCAGTCAAATTTCTTGCAAATTTGGCACTGGCGAACCATATTTTATAGTTCTTGAATACAAAAAGTAAATAAAATAAACATTTAAGGACTACAAACTAAGAAAATGCAATAATTCAGCTAGAGAGAAGTGGCGGCAACAATGCTTTACTACACACGTGCGACGCGTACTACAAGATAATAGAAGAATGAATAGGCGACTTCGCCTCTAATCGGTGTTGCCATATTGTAAAGGATTTATCCTTTTTACATAGTATTCGACTTATAATAAAGTAGTATAAGGACTATTTAATACATCTATGGAATATTAAAACCTACTTTATTAAAATGCAGTATTAATATCTCAATATATGTGTATAATAAGTAAAAAAATATTGATAATATTAAAGACGTGACAACATTGGCTGGACGAGGAAGGTTTGGTCGGCTGCGGTCGAGTGTACCCAGAAGTAAACATGTGTACAAAAATGATTGTTTGACCCGTGTAGCGTGTAGATGTAAATAGTGTACCGTAAAATGGGGTGAATAGAAACAGTTTCGTAGGCTATTAGCGATATACCGGTTGATAAAAATGTGGTATTATGTTCCCGAATATTTTAAAACATGGGTCTTTGTTTGTTCTTTGCGTATACATATAATTTGATTTTTGAAAAATATGCATATAAATATTAAATAAAAATAACTTTTGTGTTTTTCTATTCACCTGCTATTCGGGAGAATAGAAACACACATTGATGTTAAGGTTTTATCTATTCTATTTCCAACAAGGTGATTAGAAACAGATAATTATTACATATTTAAGTAGGTTTAGCAATAATTAACAATACATATAATATTACAACTTACATGTACCAGCTTAAGTATTACTTTAAAAATAAATATTTTATTTATAAAGTTTTCGCGCCATACAAAATAGGTGATAAATCGATCTCACATTTATTGATCAGCTGATTGACAGAAACAGTGCTGCCACAGATAAAAATATAGTTTTTACATTTTATTGTGTATTACCAATGATAGAAAAATTAGATATGTCGACTCTTTTTACTTTGAATATTTTTAATCGTGATTTGATTTTTTTCAGAAATTTTGTTTCTATTCACCCCTATGTTTCTATTCACCCCATTTTACGGTAGTCTATATTTTATTTTAAGTCTATAGTAAAGACATCCACAAATTTTCAAATCCAATTTTACAGTCCTTTTCGATAAATCGCAATAGTGTCACTGTTAAAAATTAAGTTTTGCCACAATTTCCTTCTAGATTTACTACCTTTATACAACTATCAGTAGTAGAATAAATAATAAATAACATAAAATAAGCTCAGTAAAGACTAACAAATCCACAAAATTTCAAATCAAATTCAAATGTGACAAATGAATCGTCAAACAGAACTGTCAAGGATCCCCACCCTAGAGTCCTCTTTTCGTCGACCATGCATCCGATCTACATGGATAGTATTATACTACCTTAATCTTTTTATTCAAAGTGGAGTAGACTTCACCTGTGACACAGTGAATACGCTATTCACAAATTATTTACCTCTGCGTTCTTGAACCTGATCCAACATTAACCTAATCCTATTTACACCAAAAGACGAGGAATTATCACCAGTGAACTTAATAATCGCCATGACATTCGATATTTCAGCACAAAAATTTATGGATATCTTTTTAATAAATTCCTCTTGTTTCCAGTATTTACTCTCGGGATAGAAAGGTATCGCTTTGGTTTCGGATGAGGACTTCTTTGTTGCCTTTAACACTCTTCTAATGAAATGAACCCATTTTTTTATTACAGAATGGTTATATGTGAGTAATAAATTGTGCTGCTGCATGTAGATATTCATTACATTATTTTTAAGCTACAAATATATAAGATATATCAGTAATTAATAGTATATTTATGTATTAAATAACTATCAATATAATATACAGGGTCGCTGATATGTATGGAAACGGTCGATTATTAGGTAAAATATACGAGGTACTGCAAAAAATTAAATACAAAAGTTATAGGGGTTAGTAGTAGCCAGTAATAAATTTAAGTATACAGGGTCGGTCACGAAGTCGTTGCACAACAAAGTTTCATTTTTAAACGGAACCCCCTGTATATTATTGCATATTTCAATTCTTCCTTCAATTCTAAGCAAAAATAGAGATACACACAATGTACCTCAAACTAAACGTTTCCGAGTTATTGACTTTTGAAAATATCTCTTGAAATAAAGAGAAAATTTCAAAATATCTCTCTTTTGAAATATCATTTAAACAATAGGCTACTTGCACATACTTTAATTTTCACCTGAAAACTACTTAAAGACCTTTATAAATACAACACGTAGCACGATGTTATTTCCAAAAATAAATGCAAATTATTTCATAATTTCGATTATAAACTTCACCCGGGACCTATAAATTTGACGTGACACGAAAACGTTACACCATTGGTTGTGACGTCACAAGGTACGATTTCAGTAAGGCAGTTTACCACAAGCGAATAAAGTCTGCCGTTCTACTGAAATATTCGGAAATTTCAGCAACAAAAAAGCAAAGAATCACTTATCAAAACTCACGCGTGCAATTAGTAAAACTCAAAATCACGAAAAAAAAAGGTTCAAATAAAAAAATAACCTGAACAGCCCAGTTTGGTCCGAGCAACTGAGTAGACATCTGACTTTATTCGCTAAATTATTTTACTGCCATTTTACCAAAGTCTATACATTTTACGTTGTTCATAGGTACTATTAGTAATAATAGACAAATTTTAATATTTTTATTGCTTTCAAGTTAGACAGGTAGCTGGTCATATTGTTCATTATATAAAATTTCATTAATACATAATAAAACTTGACTAAAACCATATTATTTATTTAAAAAAGTTATAGCCAGTAAAAAGTGGGAGAAAATAAAATGGTAACACTATACACTATGTAAATATCTTGACAAAATATAAACATTTATTATTAATATAATTAAAAAAGCTGGTTTTTGTCAACTTATTAAGGGTCGCGTTGTGTATTCACTAAACCACAGGCAATAGTTATAGTATAGTCTAATTGAGAAATCAAGTTAATGTGGATGTAAACGTAATGTTTTAACACTTCAAACTCTCTTAAACGCCTTATAACTCTTTTGATATGGATTCTTAGACTTAGACTTTTGATATAGCTTCTACGATGCCTATCCTATAAAGGATTTCTTCTAAGATTTCTTGTTTTATGGGTAAATCAGATTTTGGAGTACTGGCTTCACACAAAACATCTTGAATAATACTTTGACTTGCCCTCTTTATAGCACCCATTCGTACAGTTTGGGGATAAGTCTGTTTTCTATCTTGGTGACAAGCAAAAACTTACTACATCCTTTTCATTTGTTTTTGAAGATACACCATTTTCCATTCCATATAATTTGCAATATTTTGCTCCAACTAGAAAAAAAGTACTATTTGTCTTGTCTCGGTTTTGGCTTTGCTACTGGGCAATTGCCAGAAAGTACTATTTATAAACTCCATAAAAATAAAAGTGAGGTTAGTTCAACACTTATTCCTTATTTTCCTATTGTTTTATATTTGTATTTCTCAACTAACTCAAAAATAAATTTCTAATTTAACTATGCTTTTCAAATTTAAATAAATACTTACATTAAATGGTTTTCACAAAGGTAGATATAAATTTTTGAAGAACTTAAGGCTGGCGTCTTATTTTCTAGAGCCAGTTTTTTCGCTGTTTCTCTTCGATAGGCTAATGTTAAATGTTTTTCCAGGAGTGGAAAGTGTCGTACTTTTGCAACCGTACCATACAGTATCGATAAATCATTTTGCATTTGAAAATTAGTTAAAAACTTCGCCTCAATAAAAATCGTAACTCAATAGAATGTCAAAACAAAATAATACCTCGTGACGTCACTATCGTAAGCGAGGTCAAAGCTGACGTTTTAGCGGGCTTCTCATCATTTGAATTTTAACCATTTATTACGGCATTAATACACCAGATATTTTAAAAATATTTTGCAGATGTGCTTTTTGAGTCTAAATGATCATTTTAAGACAATAAAAAAATACCCGCAATGGGCCTATATAAATAAATATCACTTAATACAATTAACCAATAATCGACCGTTTCCATACAATATCAGCGACCCTGTATGTATTAATTACATAAACACCTCAATACATTTTTTTTTGCGCAATACAATATATTTAGTGTATACAGAGTGCTACAAATTCGAGGTACGAGTATTGGTATCTCGGTAACCGTAATAGATATGAATATGGGTAAATTGGGGCAAAGTTGCGCTTTGGGATATTCACCAAAATGCCATTATTTTTTTTTTTTTAATTTCCAGGATTGCTGAGTTTGGTTTGGAAAGACGGATTATTTTAAAAATCAATTTTATTTTTTCCTGTCGTTACTTTTTAAAAAATCAAAAAACTAATTGCACATTCTCATAGCCACTTTATTAGGGCTATATTAGTATATTTAGTTTTTCAAATTAGCTGATAATTTGTGAAATACAGAGGCCAACTTAATTTTTTTAAATACGGACCTGCATTTTTTATTTCAGGTTTTGAAAGAACTCGGTCTCCTGAGTACAATGATATGCCACACTTAATATTTTTTTGTTTCGGACATTTGAACATAATTTATTACAATACAACACATTGGTTACAATACTGATAAGCTTTCAAACTTAATGATGTGGGATAAAACATTGAATACGGAAAATCAAATGCATAAAATCCAAAAATACTATCGGATAGCCCTAATAAAGCGATTATGAGAATGTGCAGTTAGTTTTTTGATTTTCTAAAAAGTAACAACAGGAAAAAATAAAATTGATTTTCAAAAAAATTCGTTTTTTCCAAAAAACTCAGCAATCCTTGAAATTTTTAAAAAAAATTTTGATGGCGTCTTGGTGAATATCCCAAAGTGCAACTTTGACCTAATTTAACCCGAATTTGTAGCACTCTGTATATTCGCTAACCGGAACGATTAGCTAATCAGAATAGGTCGTTACAATTTGCTGTTCCGATTAAAGAAGTTTCACTGTATATTCTTACCTTAGCGTCAATATTAAAGTTCTTAAGATCTATGATCTTGTCTGAATTATTTTCCAGCGTAAAGTTGTTTACGTAAAAGTTAAACAATATTCGATTAGCATCACTTTGTGGGACTGTACGATAATTTAGTGCCATCGATTTAATCGACGATGTGTATTCGGTTCCACCCCTTCTATTGAATCCTTTTAAAGAGGTATCATCGATTTGAAAGGAACAGTTCTAAAAATTTAAAGAAAATATTTAATACCTTTTAGAATATTTCTCTTTTTTTTTCTTAGAAAAAAGTAGCAAAATAGAACACTAATACATCAAAACACTTTACGTTTGCACTGGACGCGCGGTTCGCTAACCATGTTAGCATCAACAGCAGATGATTAAAAATAGTTGTAACAATTAAAAATAGTTTAATCGTCTGCTGTTGATGCTAACATGGTTAGCGTTAACATGGTTAGCATCAACTTAGCCGTTAGCATCATTGTTAGCATCAACAGCAGATGATTAAAAATAGTTGTAACAATTAAAAATAGTTTAATTATCTGCTGTTGATGCTAACACGGTTAGCAAAACGCGCATCCAGTGCAAAAGTGAAGTGTTTTGATATATTGTGGTGAAGTAGTGTTTTATTTTGCTGTTGTAACGCCAACGGTTCCAACTCTCAACCGTAAAAGAAAAAAGTTGCTCCACTCTGCCAAATAATATTCGGCAGCAAAATGTAATAGTTATTCTTATTTAAACAAACTTTGTGTTTAATTGAATTTTGAATTTATAGGTGCCGCAAGTTTTGGCGCCCAACGTGAGACATCAAGAATTGCAGCGCTCAAACAACGTGATCCAAACTCAAATCCGTGATAATTGTGAAAAAGTGGCATTAAAAACTTAAAAAGCTGTGTGAACTGTGAACTGCAAAAACCATTATGGATCGTGCCATAACGTCGGTTTCCAATGTTTCACAGGTATTTCATACATGTCCTTATATAAAATAAAGTGTCTTATATAAGCAACACCACTGTATTTTATTTAAAAAATAAAAAGTAAATAATAATAAATTTGAATAAATAATATTTGGCGACATAATTCCGGAAAAAGCCGAACCGCTCCGAAATTACCAAAAGCTTTGGAGAGCGACCGTTGCGTTGTAAGGATAGCGCCAAATAGTATTTCCATTGTCCTTATGGGCACTTTCCAATCAAAACTTCTTTGTTTTATCTATGATATCAACACAAAAAGCGCGACCGCGCAGGTACTTTAATATGGCTCACTATAAATTCCGGTTTGTCATTAGTAAAATTTATTTCCTCAGAAATCTGCAACGCTATGCACCCGCCGCCAATGAATCAGATGATTTCAAAAAAACATCTAAAATCAGTCTTACCTTAGGTACTATTGGCAAAATCGTCTCAAACACATTTCTGTTGTTCTCTTTAGCCTCATTCTCTTGTTGCCTGGCATCTAAATCAAAGTTAGAGGAATGAAGCTCGCTAAAGCTCTTACTTTGAAACACTAAAGTGGGCTGCTGTCTCTTCGGTTTTTGAGGCTGAGGTGATTTTTTCTTCTTCATTCTTCTTTGAAGTTTTGTCGAGACGTCATGTTCGTTCAAGGTATTAAGTTTTGTTTTATTTTTATTTAATGAACAAAATCCGTCTGTTATCAATGCTTTGCTTTGTGACATTTTTATATCTAATTTCTAAAAAAAATGCTTTACAAAATTTCATGTTTAGGTATTTTATAAAACGGGTAGTATTACAGGATATCTTCAGTATGAACATTAAACAAGGCTTATAATAAATGTGTGATATACTTAGTATGTATAGCTGCAATGCGTCAGTTTTATTAAATCACATGGTATTAATATTTATATACAGGGTGGTTCGAACTGTATTCCGGAAACTTCGGCAGCATATTCTGCAGATAAAAATAAGTAAAAAAGTTCGTATAAATGTATGCATGAGACATTTTTATGTAAAAAATGTCTCTCAGTGAAAATCGCTACGAACAACCGTTCTCAAGATATTTAGAATGGAAATAGTCAATACATGTCATTATTGACAAAAAATAAACGTATTATGTTGAGTAGACAGTTATTTATCTGAAATTATAAATTTTAGAACTTTTTATTTTTTTAATTACATAATCTTAAATTTTTCTTAAAAAAATGACGATAAAACAGTTTCTGTTGAACTTTTGGAACAAAAACATTTCAAATTTATTATTTCAGTCTGATAAGTATTTAGTCAACATGTTTAATTTATGTCAATGATGACAGATATCGATAATTTCGATTCCAAATATCTCGATAACCATTACTCGTACCGATTTTTATTAAGAGACCTTTTTTACGTAAAAAAACGTCGTAAATGCATATTTTTTTACTCAGTTGTTTTATACAGGTATGGACGAAAAGTTATTACTCTCCAAAATAGTTAAAAAAATATGTAGGAAGTAGGAGTAGTCTGGAAGTAGGAGTCATATTGACATCAAAATCAAATTTCTCATGTCAAAAAACTCCCAGACACCAATTTGCATCCAAATATTTATGTTACTTCAGAAATTATTTGGAAAAAATCCAAATAAAATTAAAACTTCTACACCCTGTATCTCCGAAACTAAGCATTTTAGGACATACATTTATAAGAACTTTTTTACATATTTTTATCTGCAGAATATGCTGCCGAAGTTCCCGGAATAAACTTCGGACCACCCTGTATAGTAATAGATAAATGCAATGTGATTAATACGAGTATTATAATAGAGCGTATTTTGAAAAATGATTCTTAATGGAAAACGCAATATAATTTTTTTAACTGTCAAAGTCTAAGCCCACTTGATCAAAAGTTTTTTAATTATACAGTACCTCTACGGATAATGGTCCCTGTGCAACCAAAACAGCTTCCATAGCAATGCCAAACGAGAATTCGGCAAGCTTTGTATTAAATTGATTCCTGAAGTCGTATGCCTTTGTTAAAACATTCACATAAGCATCGGTCATATTAAAAGTAACCAATAACGATTTGGCATTCTTTAAAATACTGCCATCTATATGTAATTCCTTCGTCAAAATTTGGATTAAACATTCGTTATCTAACTGAATAAGCATTGCCGATATGTTATAAACGTGTACTGCCATAAACTAAAAAATAAATAAATAAAGTTAATTTTTATTTCAGTAGTGTGCAAAAACATTTTTTTCTCCTTGCCCTGACACCATTCTTGCCGATTCTTATGGAAAATAACGTCCTGAATCCAAATATAGCTCCCGTTTTCTTCTACATCCTCCACCCTCTATTTTCAGGGGTACCCCACTCTATTTTTATCATATTTTTATCAATTTTTAATAATAATAATAATTTTTTGGGCATGAATTTAATTTAGAATATTTTAAGTAAATAATAAATAAAAAATCACTACTTTTGTTCCCTGAGGTATCCCTTTCGTCCCAAAAACCAGCAGTACTCCGCCAACAAGCTAGCATTCCATTTCCCTGAAAATCTCCTCTCCGACTTAGCGAAGTCTTGTCCAACACAACAGCAGCAGTGGAGATCATTTTAGACCTAACACCACTGCACATTATCGTCGGTAGATATGCCAATGCGACAATGATTAGAATGATCATTGACAGAAATAGTACTGGGAGAACTTTGGTACGGCTGATGCCGGAGCTGGCCTCTGTGTCGCCGTCTCAGATACTGGCTTTCAGATTCCAACCCAACTCTAACGATGTCTTGATGGAACCGTTTCTCGTGTTCATTCGAGACTGCTCGTAAATTTTCAGGGAACAAGTTCCGGTGTGAGTGAAAGAAATGCAATTTAAGAGATATATTACATCCCATGGTCTTGTATGCTAAGCAAATCCTCCACCTGAGCGACATAAGAATTACTTTTTTGGTTACCCAAATGTTCTTACACATGTTTTGAAATGCAAACTAAAATCGTTTTTATTCTCAATAGTCTCAATAAGGCGAGAAAATTTAGTATTAAAAAATTTAAATGCGTCACCTGTCTTGTCCATTGCTTTCCTAAAATGTTTTGATAAATCCAAGTTTAATTTGCAAAGGCGCCAAGTAAATCCTTGTCGCAAAATTTATTACGGTTTCTATAGGCTTGGTGCATTCTCCGCCGGTGGTGCCACCATCGGAGAATATCATAAACAACTAGTATCGTTTACAAATACACGGGTTTAAATAGCGAGAATACACAAAAATTATTATTTAATTATTCTAAAAGTGTTAGGAAGCATAATTTGTGAAAATTCTAAAAATAAAAATAAAAAAGCAAATATTTTGATATCTTCGCAGAAGGTCTAACTTGTATAATAATTTATTATTCCAGTTAAAAAATTTTTTAGACGAGTTCATTTACGGTAGCGAGCATAATTGGGGCTATTTCGGCTATAACGAAATTTTTTAAAGGTACATAATTATAATTTTAGAAGATGTTCATAAAACATTTAATCTCCAGTTGATTAAAAAAATTATATCATTAATATTGCAAATTATATTTTATCCTTCTATTTAATTTTTTGATTATGTAACGAGCACTTTGTTTACTCACTTGTTTCGTCGAACTGCTTGACTCCATTTTTGTTTTTGATTAACTCGAACCTATGAAGTTATAAAATGTTGTTTCGGGAGAGTTGAATATTCGGAAAAGTTAAATTATTGAATGTTATTGCACCCAACAATGCGCTAATTACGCCCTCCTTTACGCGTTAACATTTTTTCGGTAATTTTATTAACATTTGACGCAACACGACGCGACGCTTAGTTCGAATTCTTTTTCACTTATTTTTTACTACCCGAAACAGCGTTACATCACACAAACCTCTCGTACGTGAGTGTTTTATAGTCTCAATATCTACACTAGCAAAAAACTAAAATGCTTAATGACAAAACCACGATTTCAATATGTTTTAATGCGATCAACATGACGGCGGCGTGAAATAGGTACTGATAATTTCTGATTTTTGCCGTTGAAGCGCGGTTGGAATTTGTTGAAATCAACTGAAATGCACCAAGCCTATACACTGTTATATTTTATACTTATAAATTTTATCCTAATAGTAAGGATGGAAGCTGAAATATATCAAAAATAAGTGAAAAAAATGCGATAAAAAAGAAAAAAAATATTAACTACTGATTTTATACGATTCCACATTTACATTTAAAGTTCATGGTTTCAGAACACTTAATAGCTCTAGTGCCCCAGAAATACCAATGTAGAAGCCAAAATAATCCTTTTCATCCCATCAAACTATCAAAAAGCAATAAAATTAAGTATGGGGGGGGGGGGTTCCTTCAACAACTTGGAATGATTATGGAAAGTGGAGTTCATATTTGGATTGAGGAGGCCATATAGGAATCGGCAAAAATTGTGTCAGGGCTGATATTCATGCAGACCACTGTTATTAAGTAAGAAGAATTGTACTTACTTGGGCAAAACTGTTTATAAAATGAGGAACTTTTTTGTCCCTGAAGTCTAAAATATCATTATCAACATCATTTTGACTGTTACTGCTCTCATTTGTGGATAAAGTTTTATTGATTCTTACATCTTTAATGACCAATGTAATAAGTTTTGTGAGCTCTGAGTTTAAAAAACTACTTTTTACTCCTATTTCATCAATTTGCTACAAAACATTCAATAATAAATAAAACATAAATAGTGTTAGGAAAATTTAACCATGTCCTTACAATTGTATATCCATATTTAGAAATTTTTATATCACACAATTTAAAATATGGAAGCCCTATTTTTCCTATTTTAATAGGTATTTTGTATTTCTTTTCGAATATCCAGGATAATATAAATGGAAAAGCCCTGTAAAAAAATTGCAGAAAGTCAAAAGAAACACTAAATATCCTTAACTAATCAATATACCGGGTGCGTCTCAAATATGGCTCACCCCCATAACTTTTTCAATTTTTCAGATAAAATATAGAGATTTGGTATGTTAGTATATGACATAAATTAAAATTGACGCACTAAATTGTTTTCTGTCACTTTCTGTTTCACCGGAAATAACTACAACTTTTGAATTTTAAATGGCACCCTCGGTATTTTGTTACCTTATTCAATAGAAAATTACACTCTGATTAGAATGACATATCATATGTCAACTTTTGACATTTTTCGAATATGATTTATTTGAAATTGCAACATGCATAACGACAATTTGACTCGAAATACCAAGTGTGTAGTACCAAATTATTCGTAAAAAATGCTTTTTCTAAATATGCTAATGAGCCACCCTTGTTCTATTTGAAAAAATTAAGTTATGATTAAAAATACAATTTGGGCATCTTTTAACCGGCCAGGACCAGACAGTAAAAACATTAACCAATCAAATTTATTTTTCCAAGGCTCCTTGATTAAAAATTAGTGTTTTTAAGACACCCATGGCACTCTAGATTGAAATTTAAAATTCAATTTTGTTTTGAACGAAAATGTCAAAAATTGACCTACGATATGTCATATGATATGTTATTCTATTCAGAGTGTTACTTGAGTTGTCAAAAATCAAAAATTGTACTTAGTTATTCCGGTGAAACAGGAATCAAGAATTGAATACAGTCGATCGAGATTGAATATAGTCAATCAATCCTAATTTATGTCATATAATAACATACCAAATCTCGTTTTTTTATGTGTAGAGCCGTCTCAGATACTGCAGTCTTTGACGCCGTTTTTTTTCCATTTGTATGGTGTTTATATATTATCATGAAGCCCTCTTTGACGCCGTTTTTTTTTTCAATCGTATGGTGTTCATTAATTATCATGAAGCCCTTGAAGTCGTTTTTTTTTCGATTGTATGGTACATATAACTAATTAGAGGTCATTGGGTATAACAAGATATATTTTTTTTACTGATTTGCAGTTTAATTTACCACATGCAGTATGATGATGATGTGATGATAGTTATGATAGAATCTGTCCTGAATAATGAATATATGCACAATTGACAGATATTTGGATGGACAATGTTGAATGACAGACCCTCTAAACAATGGACTGTCTAGGATGTCTAACTTTCTCCAAAAAAATACTCGAGCATTTTATAACACTATCAAAAACTGTAATATTTTCAGCTAATAAAATATCGAAGTATCAATGGCTTGGAGGAAGACATTTTTAAAGAAAACCAATACAGAAATCCCTGGGACATGATCTTACTTAAAACATTATTTTCTCACATACAATTCATATAAATTGTGTAGCATTAAATTAATTATACTATTTACTTGATATCGAAAAGTGATATAGTTGTTTGAAACAATGTAGTTGCATAAATTAGATTAAATTCAACCTAACAGTTCTAATTCAAAAGAAACATTGTACACCACTATAAAACGGTTTTTACTCACCTTGAAAACCATAATACGGTAGCTAATATTATTGTAAGTACTAATAAAAAACCCATTATTTTTTGCAAAACACCTCCTCTTCTTAATATAATAATACTTCCATTTTCTAATGTTGTAAGTAGTTTTTTGATTAAAACCTGTTAAAAATATAAAAAATATTATGTGTTTCAATAAGAATATAAGAACCAAACGAACTGATAATAATAGTAATCCAATTATTCATTGCTCATAACTTAAGTCATAAAATAGATATTCAAAACCTTGTTTAAAACTAACAAAAAGTAGTATTAAAATCTAAAAATCAAGCTCAAATATTGTAAATTAAATAAAAAAAGTAAAGGTGTTTATTAGGTACAGCTCTCACTAAATTTTGTATTGATTTATACATTTATAGAAGATAAAAATGGTATGGTAGTAAAAAATAGGAATAAAAATGAAATAGGAAATTATTTTATGCAATAATCAAAATATACTCAAACATAGGCATACATACTCTCTAATTATAGTTAATTTTCCTGTGTTTTCCAGGAACTATTTAAATTCTAATTTTTCTTGAAATGATCAATTGCATTTACTTAGTTTTTATTAATTTTCTGCTGTTTTCTGTTTAATTTATTAATAAATAAACTTTTGACTTTGACAACTAATGTCATTAATATTTTTTTAGGTTATTTTTGAATATTTTCATAGACGACAGATAGATGGCAATATTTAAAATTAAGTTTTTTTTCTGCGATTAACCGCCAGCACGTAAAAAAATACCTTCTCATCCAAGAGATAGATTATGAAAAATTACACTTTAGTGCAAGTAAATTTTTTGTTAACTAGATACTTTAAGAATAACCGAAATCATCGTACGTATTTGGTATGTATTATAAGGGTATTATATGTTTGTATCTTATTTAGAATTAAGTGTTTAAAAACATTATTTGCATTTTAAGTTTTATTTACATCAATTAAATTACAAATTAAGTTAAATTCCTAAAGGTTTGTTTATGTCCCTTATATTTTCCTTTGTATTTAAGGCCAGTTACTATAGTTGAGCTTTCGGGAAATGCTGTTAGACCTCCAAACCGATCATCTGTATCTATAAATTAAAAAAGTGTTATTTATACATTTAAAATTAAATACATCAAAGATCATTGTTTTACCTGGAAGCCACCTGTGATATTCATGTTGAACATGTAGATTTTCAGGTAGTTCTACATTTTTTAACTTGTCATAAGGAGTTCTTACATCTACAGGTGTCTCGTAAAATTTGACTACATCTTTTAAAGTTTCTATTTGGTGTAACAATGAATTAGGAATACTGTGTCCTATTTGACTAAAACATGTGGCAAATAATTTGAAACGATCATTCAAATCAACTACTTTTGTGTCTAATTGTTCTGTTCCTAAAACCTCTTGGAATATTACTGATAAAGTTTTATTTACATCTGCTGGTGGAACGTATTCCTTCTGTGGGCGTAGGAAACTAAAATAGAAAATGTAGCTCTACATTTGTATAGTAATATGATTAATTTAGTATATAAATTTACTGGTTAAAAAAATGTAATTGTAAAAGTAATTTTAAAAAATAATTTAAATTTGTAGGCGCAGCCTCAAAAATATTGACTGGACGGTAGCGCTCCCTGGTGGCAGAAACATACAAATAAAGGGAAAGCAACGGTAATGGCTGCTCGCGCTAGTCGTAGTTGTCAAAAGGAAAGTAAAGGTGGTACACACCCTTTTGTGGCTAAAGATTCGGCTGTACCAGTTAATTTTGGGCCAGGTTTTCTATCTATACCCTTCTTTTTCTCCGCTTTTGTGGCGTAGCATTGCCGGAAAATCTAAAAATAACAAGGTTACAAACTAGTGAACTGAAACAAGTGCAAACAGTGACTACAGTGGTAACATGGAGGGAAATAAGACCAAGTGCTAATCTCGAAATATGCGGTATCGAAAATATGTGTTTTAAACTACGCTAGGATTTATTTGAAGTGTAATATTTACGTTTTTTGGTGCTAGAATCTGTCCTGTTTTCGAAATGCCATGCTTGAAAAACGCCGCCATGATCTTTACTGATTGACAATCTGCAACAAGAAAACACATACGTAAAGCGGCTCAGTCGGAGAGTCAGTCGATACGGTGAGACGCCTTTGCACAAAGCATGTCGTGAATAGATTCGAGTCGTGTACAACTCGGTAAGGGTTTTGATGGTTGGATTTTCGACGGTTTAGTATAGCTTGTTATTTCGTTACTGCCGCCATTTTGCAGTTGCTATTGAAGGTAAAAATTATTCGGTAAATATAAGCGTTTTTTCGTGCGGTTGAAGATATTTTTGTGACGTGATGTGTTAGTTTTGTGTAAACTGTGGATTAATCATTTAAAAATGGATCAAATATGACGCACCCCAGTTTTCAAACTAACGGAGCTAGTTTAGAAGATTGCCACACAAACTTCTTTGCTTTGGTAAGTTAATAAGCATGTTACACCATGATTTAAATTCTCTACTATAAATATCTGTATGTGTCACAGTACAATTAAGTCAGATCGGTCAGAGTTGAGATAGAGAGGAAAACTTTTGATGTTTACGTTGTTTTTTTCTCATCTGGAAATTAGTTTATATCGTCGTTATTCCGCGATACAATTGTTGTTAGGTAGCAATAGTCGATACGTTGTGTTTTTGTTGCCTTTGACATTGTTATCATAACTGACACCATTTAATTTAAAACAAACGAACTACGTAACATTGTTTACTTGATAAAAAATTAGAATCAACCCACTCTGATTGCGATATATTTTCACTTTCTCTCTTATTAGAAGTCGACCGTGTTATTTCGTTTAGACAGGAAATTTGATTCCCGCAATTCCTGTATCTAAAAATCAATTGAGGACGCAGTTTGGCGATTTTCCTTGGTGGTTTTTAGTGGAAAAGCTCACGAACATTGCGGGTGTTCTAATGTGAACGAACGCAAGACGTTGTTGCCAAACCGTGCATAACGGTGTCCATGGCCTACTATTGTTATGATAGGCATTCCATTTAAGCATTTGTTATTCTACAGTTTCTTTTTAGCCCTCATTACTTTTACATTTATTTCTTTGACGATGATCGTATATTAATGATAATCGACTTATATTTAAACATATATCTAGTTCAAATAAATATAATATTTAGTATTAATTTATTTTACTTAAATATAATTTTTTGAAAGTAGGTATAATGGTTTTATATCATTTTATTCAGATTCTGTAATCTACACTATCTATTTAATTCTAATTGAACTATAAATATCATTATTTAATCAAAATGTAATTGAAAATATTTTACCTTTTTAGTTTCAAGGTCAATAATTATAAATAAATAAATTGTATTTTTTAACAAGCTTTATTAGTATTTATGTTTTTCTCTCGGGTTTTCTTGAAAAATGTGGTAGGTATCTAATTTTAATATACAATATGTGCAAAAAGTTTTACATAAAGCATTACACTAGATTTTTTAACTGTTAAAGTTAAAGCTCTCTTAAACATACTTTTTTTTATTGTACGGTATAGGAAATATTAAAATTGATTAATATATAGGTACCTACTTGGCGTGCCATTTTTTATAAATTAGAAATTACTTTTAATAGTACAATTTTATACGTATGTGCTTCAAATTGCTTATTTACTTTTTATTTAATAGTAAAAGTAGTAGTATTTATCACAGTATCTATCTAAAGATACATTCTACTTAAATATTATTACATATATAGCCATAAAATTCTACTATGAAAAGTGAGGAACAAAGTAAATAATCTTAAAAATCAAATTATATACGTACAAACATTCATACAATATGTTTGTTAAATGCGATATTTTTAGATAATCACATATGAAGAATTATCATAAATACCTTTATTGATTTTAAAGTATGATAAATTTGGCACTTGAATTTGCTAATATTTTAAGATTTAAATCACAGGTAGCGCAATTGTTTTAAAACATTTTCTATTGCGATTGGAATCAAAGAGAAAATGAACGAATTCTGTAAGGGCCTTAACAATAATTAACGACAAAATAATTACTTTGTAGGTATAGAATTTGAGATCTAGAGTTATACCACTTTCTAGCCATATTGCCATGTTGTTAGAAATTTCTTAGCTATTATATTGGGAAAATAGGTAATAATCAGTAACTGAAACCAAATTTAATTGATTTCAAATAAATTGTTTCTTTTTATAAAAATACATTGTAGACCAGATTTTTTGCTTTATCGCCATGTAAAGCTAATGGGATTGACGGACGGAGCCATGTGCAGGTTCTGTCATTCTAAAGAAGAAACGGCAGAACACACATGTCGGTGTGACAGCTTGGCAAATGTGCGATTCTTTGTAATAGGCAGTGATAGGCCAGGGATATGAAGGATTCACTCTCCAAGTTGCTAGACTTTGTGAAAAGGATGGGACTGGAGAATGTTACCTAAGGATCAGAAGAGGACCACAATAGAACTGGAAAGATCGCAGTGGTACCTCGAAGAATCGAATATATTTAGACAATTTATAATATAATTCCATTACCGATGTCCGCAATGAATGTAGAATGAGTAAGAGGGGGTACACACCCTTCCCCGGTTGGAGTTTGGCCCTCCGTGCCGCCCTTCACAGTCGAGGAGCTTCCTCCGGCTGAGGAACCCGTGAGGTGGAGGCTGGAGGATCTGTCTCCATTTTCTCCACCTCTTTAACGTGGTCTCTCCTTAAATCTGATACCGATGTCCCGTATCTATAATAGAGGATATGTCTCTCTTTCTCTATTGCCTCCTTGGATTTGAGGTCAATTCCTATTGTGAGGACCTGTCCGCAATGAACTTCACCTTGAATATCTTGCTCGATCTTCTTGCTTTTGATCTTTGGATTTCCTGGCTTTATGTAAGAAATCTGCAGGAAGAAAAATGCACCTTTCTCGGTATTCCCCGGAATATATTCTTCTGGTCATCTTGTAAATGTTTATTATTTTTTTTAAAGAAAACTAAAAAGTCAAACAAACAGTTCTTCGCAAATGTTTGCGCACTCGAAGTAAATTTTACTAATGTGGATTTTACTAATGTGTGCGTTGCATAAATCGGACGCAAGTATTTTCGACGCACACAACGCATGTTTTTGAGCCAATATTAAAAGATTTTGTGTTGCAGTTGGACGATCTGCTATCAAAAGTAATGCGCTGGCAAATTGCACCTTCATAGAAAGCAGAGCCATTAGGGTAACATTGAGGAGGGCAGCTCATTATTGCCATACCATGTAGAATGTAGAATGTTTAGGAGTTAATCACCGCGACCTTACAGATGTATTGTATATTCCCCTTTCTTGAGTTATAACGAGTTATAACTCATCATACAGTCTCAGGGCTTTAACAAAAGCCAGCATCTGAGACGGCTCCACAGAGGTCAGCTCTTCATCCTCGACATCAGCCGTACCAAAGTTCATGGCACGAAAGGTCGTCGTCTCGGCGCACTCAGTGATAAGGTGTTCTGGTGCCATACCGTACTATACCGTAGTTCTTGGGATCAACGATTAATTAAATATTTATGAAAAAAAATACCAGCGAGAACATGGCTTAAAACAAGTCCATCATTTATTTAAGAAATAGAGAAAAACACAGGGCAATTCATTACGCATCAAAAATTTATCAATGAGGGCGCTGCTTAAATTAGCATTGTTTACCACCTTTAAAGATGTCAAAGGAAACACCGGCTCTAAGCAGACACGAGACCCCAACTATTCTGTATTGACGTAATCGTCTTTGTCTCCATGCGAACAAATCTGTCATTAGCAGCCCGACGGACGCGACGAGCTGACAACGCCGCCCGCACTCTTTAATAACGAGTAAAAAGGCCAATAAGACGTGCGCAATGTGTCGGAATGCGGCTAGTCAGTCGGAAAAGTGTGCGGCGTCGGCGGCGACGTTTATTTTTTATTATTTTTCGGTGATCGGGCGGATTGGTGGCGGGGGAGCGAGGAGTCCGTAAGCTCAACGAATTATAAACGGAACAACTCATCGGGTCACTAGTTTGGACGGGGTTATAAACGTTTGGAAATCTTGGCTATTCGGCAAACGATTTGCGGCGTTCTCACCATTTTTTTTTCTATGAGATCAGAGAAAATACGTTAAATACATTTGCAGGTTTGGTCGAGTCAAAACAACGAAGTTTGCTGATAAACTTTTTAGTTAATTTTTTAGTTTTTTTACTGTCTTTTATACACAATGCTGTGGACACCTTCCTCTAGCAGATGCGAGATCTTGTCGTTGGTGGGGAACCTCCAGGTCAGGTACTAGGGGGTATCCTCTGTGGCACTTTGGCTCACAACCTCAACAAAAATCTAAATCCTATGATGGCGGGGCCAGGTCAAAGGGATGCGTGACTAGATTGAAGACTAGCTTCTACTGGTTCCAACCTTGGAACACCAGGGGGCACCTCATTGTATTTTCGTCCCCCTTACTTCTACATACGGGGCTCTGTAGAAGTGGACCGACCAACCCTTAGGGTGTAATTGACTTCAAATCCAAGGAGGCAATAGAGAAAGGGGGATATATGGAGACAGATCCACCAGCCTTCATCTCACGGGTACCTCAGCCGGAGACAAGCCGGAGAAAATAAAGACGCTCAGCTTAGAAAATTCGAGAAAACCAGTCTCATTCAAATATTCTACTCGGATAAAGTCATCAAATCGTTGTGGTCAATGGACTGTCCTCTCTTCGCGACCGAATGTTCAAAGAATTGTTTATTTTTGCCTTTTGCTGTTAAACTTTTTTTGTCTTGAAATCAGAAAACTGAAAACAATTATGGGAACAGCACGAATTTTGTATTTATTCGGATCGTCGAAATCAGAAATGACCGTTTTCCGTTCAGTTTTCTATTCTGCATAATATTAAGGTCTGCGAATTTTAAAATAGAGCCGCCCTCGTATACACTGCCATGGCCACGTGAATGCACGATTATTTCGGACGGTATTATTCCTGAATTAAAGCTAGTATGATACTTATCCTAGATCAGGATTTCTTGTGTGAACAAGAAATCCTGATCCGAAAACCTTTTCAACTGTGAACACATTTTGAAATCAATTAGCTGAAAAAAATAAAAGATAATACTAATAGGGCAATGCATGCAGACTCAATAGGCACCTAAAGCTAATGAGACTGACGGACCAAGGCATGTTCGGATTTTTTCAGTACGACAGTCTGGCGTCTACAGGTTATTAGACTTTCTGAAAAAAATGGAACTTAAGTATCAGGAGAAGACCATAATAGACCTGGAAAATTCGCAGTGGAACAGGCCAATAACAACCTCGGATTAATATGAGTTATTTTTCTTTTAGTCTTTAATAAGAGAATAAGAGAGAATTTGCGATGTTGTTTCAAATTTTGAACAAATTAGATATAATTAAAGGTCAATCAGTTCCTATAACGTATTTTTTTTTACAAGAAACTCGGTTGGC